CTTCGACTTCACGTCCTCTGCGTAGGTTACACCTGTCCAGTGCTGCACGCGGAGCCTCTGTACTTCTGCCATTCGTCTCTTTTCCCAGGCTCGGTTGATCTCTGACACAATGCGCATAGTCTTCTGCGTCTTCTGCTCTCGTCGTACGTGTTGTAGCTGCCTTGAAAGTCTGCGTAGCTCTCCTTCTATTCTTTCGAACTCGGTGTACCCGTCTCCCTGGGATGATTTTGATCCAGTCTGAAAAAGTCCTTCTCGAAGTCGGCCTCGTTCTCGGAGCAGGACAACTCTTTCGTCTCTCATAGCCTCATACTCAGCGGTGTCGCACGCAATACGCGGGAAGCTCTCGACCATGGCTGCTCGAACACACTGCGAAAGTCCGTCCCACAGGCCCTGCACGTCTCCTTGGTCCCATTTCTGGCGCCATTCGTCTTCGCTGATGCTCTGGGCGTGCTGCTCGACTAGCTGCAAATCCTCCACTCGCTTGTGCCCGTCACTGTAAGCGTGCATGGGAGAGTCGCGATTCACGGTATGCGTCAAAGTCGGCTTGTGGGCACGAGTGACGTGGATGTCCATATTCACATACACAGGTACATGGTCAGGGAGGTGCGTGCTCACGTGTCGTTGTATTCGACGGGCGAGCCCAAGCAAAGGGTGTAATTGGCGAATTCGCTGTATGCTCTCGACTGGGACGGCGATGTGGTCAATATTACTTTTGTGACTGCCCTGGTAGTAAGTGGGACCTGTGTGCCAAAACGTGTCCGCCATGGCCAAAAACCTGCTGCTAAGGAATTCTCTCACCTGCGCGCTGGTCTTACTCTCGATCGCGGGCTCGCAGATTCCCACGTTCTCGGGCTCTGTCTTGTATCTGCGCCCCGTGATGTCAGTCTGCCAACCAAAACTGCAATTATAATCTCCAGCCACGATCGGTAAACAAGAAGCTCCCAGCTTGTCAATCTCGCTCTCAATCCATCCCAGTATGCGCTTCGTGGTGGCTCTCAGCGTTGTGACGGCAAGCCCACGATGAGGGATATATATCGGAAACATTGCCAGACTCGTACTGCCAATATTAAATTGTGACATCGCCGCGCGCCCTGTGATCCCAAGATGCGGTGGTGGTGTAGCAACTTTCATCAGTGTACCCACATATCTCCTGCCATATAAAATACTCAACCCGCGTGAATTATTAGTCGTCCGAGACCGTCGCCATCCAAAATGAATCGCTTGGTGGTGCGGGAGCTTGCACTTGGTCACCTCAGCGTCCCTGGCAGCTCTCCCCGCACCGATGGCGACGTAGAAGTCTATACTTTCCACCTGCAAAGATATTTCTTCCAATCGAGCGAAATCTGCCCATTGCACATTATGAAACAGCAACTTCATTATACGGAATGGGGGGGGGGAGTGTGGGGTATGCTACGAATATTGCTGCTGCCGCCCGAGTGGCGCCGTCCTCCCGCTCTGCCCTGGGCCTCCTGCACACAGAGATGTGGTGTGCGAGGCTGTCTTGGGTGGAGCTCGGCGGGGGCGCTTGCGCCTGGGCGGCTCCTAGGGGGGGCGAGGAAGGGGAGGAGGATAAATGACTAGAATCCTCCATCGGAGAACTTGCCAGCAACAGTGCTGTTGTTTGGTTTCTTTCCCCGCCCCATGAGGATGCGATTCACGAGTGAGGCTTAACCGCGCACAACGCACTGCTCGTTGCCTCCGATCTTACACGCGCAATAGCGCTGCAAAGTGCTGAGATGGAAAACCAAGTAAAGAATATCTGGCGGACGGGTGCGTACTCAGAAAAAAACACCACAACGTTCGCACGCAAGAAGACTTGAGTCAGGGCCCAACCCGTGAAACAAAAAAATGCCTCTCAGCCACAGTGCGCCATCAGGAATACTAGACGACCACGGTGTCCAGACGCTCATCTATTTCCAGAAGAGAGACTTTAGTTCAGGACGAACCACACGTGTGCCATGCCATCGAGGCCCCGGGGTCCCTCGCCAGAAATTCAGCCAAGGATAGAACCTCGGCGCGCAGAATGAAAGCTGAGACTAACGCAGACACATCTTGCCAACGTGCGGATGACCGCCGGGGGGAGGCACATGCGAGCCCGTTGAGCAAGCCCCTTAAGCCTGGCGAGGCCCCAAGCAAGGTCCAATCGAGAAACCCCAGGAAGCCAATGGCCGGCCTGACGAAAGATGGCATCGAACGGGGGTTCGGCACGAAACTGAGAAGGACGAAGGGCCTTCATCTACTGCTTCTGCGCATCAGGCTTCTCGTCTTGAGTCTGAACCTGCATTATCTTAGATGGGCTTGGGAGGTGAATGAGCGCGTCAGAAACCTTGGCGGGCACCATCCAGCCACTTTGTGCGCCGCGCGCCAGTCGTCATCTTGGAAAGTACGATCTAAAGAGGGCCTGGACGTTGGGACGTTCATCGCATCTTGCAATGTAGCGGGCACGGGTAGCAGCTACAATAAGATCAATCCTATTCGGACCAGCTGACAAGAAACGCGCGCTCGATCGGTCAACCGACAACAACTCGGGCAATGGCGGGCGCAGCTGCTGCGCAACATAAAATGTAGCGGCGCGCAAGATGTCTTTTCCAAAACGTGATGACTGTGCCGGGCAGAGACCGAGGTCGCGAATCTCCCTCATTCTCTTCCCAAGCTCGGCTGCTTTCCCCTTCCACGCTTCCTGCTCGACCCCCGCCCAATCCAGACACCCAGATGCTTAACCCGAGTCGCAAACCTCCATCGAATCAAAGGATGCCCCAGGGTCCTCGAGGAGGGTGGCAAGAGGGCCCCGCACATGCTCATACACAAATGCAACCTGGCACTTGGACAAGTTGAGCACAATGCCAATTAAAACGCCTAACTTGCACAAGCACTGAAGAAATGGCCCGAGGCCATTAACGAGGCACCTCCGCCATAGCAGAAGTCATCCGTGCACGCAAGAGAAACATATACCTGACCTGGAAGGCGCCATTCAATCCACGCACGCACGGGCTCCGCTGCAAGGATGAGGAGGGGCATGGAGCTGGGGCCCCTTGGCGAGCCCTTCGGCCGATTGCGAATGAGCCGCGCGTCCTCCCGAACGTGTAAACAATGGCAGCGTTGTCATAGTAAAGGGCTCGGAAGAAGCATATGAAGTGGGCCAGGGGCGCCCACGGCAATGAGAACTCCGAGGACCCATGAAGCATTTACGGAAGGGGAAGGCCGCTTCAAAGCCCGTCAGGAGGAGCCCAACGGCGCAACGGCCCCGCGCGTGCTGGGCGAGGGGGAGCCGCTCAGCCTCCAGAGTATGCGCCAACGTATCGACCGCGAGAACACTTACGCGGCGCGCGGAATAGGCTCGGGCGCGCAACTGTGCGCGTGATGACATGGGCCATCGAGGCAGAGAAAAGCTCGGCATCCGCATGCGCCATGCTGAGCGGGCGAGTGGCCCTGGTAGAACGGTGGACCCCTTTTCCCACTTCAGCTTCCATATCCTTTCACGGGGGGGGATCCTGGGACTTCGCTCCCCGCCGCCGGGGGTGCCGGCGCGAGGGTCGCGGCGAACAAAACGAAGTAGCACTCGTAAAGCAGATCGGCAGCCGATGCCACCTTCCAGGCAGAATAAGGAACCCAATGCCCCCAGGGATACTGCCAACCCTCCCCGTCATTATGCGCCCCCCATTCCTCCTCCTTCATCATCCACCCATTCTCAAAAATATGATTCATATTCGGATCGTCGGGCACATCCGTGATCCGCCGCGCAGAATCCAAAGAAATCAGGCCAGGGGGGCTCGTCGTCTCCCTTTGCAGCGAAGACTTGGCCCTGGTGGTCCTCGGGGGCAAGCGCCGCCTCCTCTTCAGTCCCGCCAAGTGCCCAAGCCTCCGACAAGGCCCCCTGGAACCAAATGCGGCGCTTTATTTTCCGCCAGAGCTCTTTCCAGAACGCCGACTTCCGCCGGGCATAGCCCGGGGGGCCCGCGGCCCGGGGGGTCTGTCCGATCCAACGCAAGCTCCCCAACAGCAAACAGGGAATCATATATATATATATGTATAAAATACACTCTGGAAACGACGACATAGCATATATATATATATATATATATATATATAAGTATAGCTTGCAGGAATCCGCAGCTCGGGCCTGAGGTGCACGGCAGTGAATCAACTCCGCGGCGTCGGCAGCCTGAGAATTCTACCTCTTCGGAAACTTCGAGCACGAGATCCTTGGCGGAGATCAGACAGTCCCGCGGGTTGCCACCAGAAAGAGCTTGCGCGGCCATGTCAAGAACCTTCGAGTACTTAGGGCGACGGGCGATCCAGGCAGGGGTCCTCTTGAGGGCCTCATGAGGTTCGAAGGCGCGAATACACACGACCACGAGGCAGTGATCAGATATCATGTCGGCCTGCAGCTTTTCGAGTACCTCACCCGATACGGCCAAGACCTGCAGAAAGGGCAAAAGGCATCGTGCTGCACGCGCGGTCAAGTCGGGCAGGGTGCACCAGGACCACGTCCCGAACTTCCATGCGATAATCATCTGATTGATACAGCTCCACCCAGCTTCCACGCAACCTATGAAGCAGGCCAGTATGACGATCATCTCTCGACGACCAGCCACTAGCATCAGCCTGAAGACTGCCGCCAGCAGAGAGGGAGAGAAAGAGAGAGAGAGAGAGAGTCTGAAAACTCCAATGGGCACAATGAAAAACTGGGCAGAGTCAGACAAGGCAACTATAATAGCACGAAGAGCGCGCGTAGTGAGAATGACCATGCCGTTCGTGTCAGTAACGCGTACATTAGCGGTGTAGAGATCTCCATTGGGGCCCGCGGGATGCGACTTTACATTGCGACATTCAACAACATCGCTATGAGTTATGGAATTAAAAAAGGCTTAACGAGCCCAGGTTGGATGCATGTGACCACCCCGCCTTCGCAAGTGAAGGGTGAAAAGACAGAGTGCCCGATATTGTAATGACGGAGCTCCCTCCGAAGTTCACTGATTTCCAGAAGCTGTCCATGAGTTTCGTGAACAAAGAATACATGTAGCTGCTTAGCAAGCTTCAGAAAACGGGTTTCGCGAGGACTTGCTGTAGCACTGGCTGGTTGAACTGCGGCCAAGAGAGTACGAATGTTCCACGAGCCAACCGTACGACGGGAGGACAAGGACAAATGGCTGGGCCCTGACCGAAACATGAGGCTGAAGAGGAAACTGTCCAGGCCCGATAACGCAGACGGACCAGCACCAGATGGGAGAGAGAGGGACGGATGAGGCACATCTCCAAGCAATTTGCGACAGGCAAAGCTAGAACAGGACTGGACAGCAATAATTCTGAAGCCCGCAGCCGAAACATCACCCAAACAGGTGATCCCAGCGGTCGCCCCCGTAGCCTGAGGCCCGCACTCTTCCTGGTGTTTAAAAACGCTGTGCAACTTAACGACTTCCTCCTCCAACCGCTCTACAACATGAGAGATAACTGCATGAACTTCCGGAAACTTCTCAAACAGGAGCTTTACAAAGACAAGGGAATCAGGGCCTCCCGATTTGTCGAACTCACGGTGGCAAGCCAGAACGGGTACCTCAGCGTGGCGAATGGTGCAGATGCCCCCGCCCAGCCCGTCGGAACCCATCTCCTTGTCAAGTGGGCGCACGGCTGCCGAGAGAGCGCCCCTGATCTTTCTCATGGCAAGGGAAAGCAGCCGAGCACCTGGCTCAAGATCCCGCCTGGCGCAGAAGGTGATCAGCTGCTGCGGGTAGATCGGGTCAGGGAAGATTAATGGCGGCTTGGAGATGAGCGCGTTGAGAGAGTCCGTGGCCTTCAAGGGGTCGGATAAATCGAGTGCGATCTTCTCAATCGTGCCGAAAGCCCGCACCGCCGGACGAACGCGCTCCTGTGGAACAGCGGCCTCGACGAAGAGCTCCGCAGCTCGTTGCAGACAGCCCTGCGTCATCTTCCGCGGAACACCGACAATGATAGCGCGGTGAGCGCGTTCCATGGGTTCATGGCGGGATCCAGCACTCGGGCGCTCAGCGCGTCGCCCAGCACCACGGGGGAGACGAAGAGAGGAAGGCGTCGGCAGGCAGTTCTGCTGGTCAGCTATCGCACTGTCAATGCTCTTCATCTTGGCTTCAACCACAAACGAGACCGCACTTTGAACAGCTTCAACCTGATTCTTTTCAAAAGCGTCTGGACCTCCTGGGACAGTCTCTGCCCGAATGGAACTATTATGTTGTTCGGTTCTCGAATATATCCGATGAGTTGCATCATCCACGACGGTGGTGAGGTCGGAAGAGGAACCTAGTCGAGCGAATTACTGGCACGGCTTCGAGTCTTCTTCCCATGAAACCTGCTGCTCTCAAAAGCGAATGTCGTACCTGTTAGGGCGTTCACCGGATGGAGACCGCGAAGACGAGGCATGTTCCTGCTTGGCCCCGCGGGCCTTCTTGTCAGTCTTGCGGACGCCGCGGCCAGCGCCACCCATGACTGAAGGCGAAACGGGAGCGATACGCGTCGTGGTGGTGGAAGACCAAAATCAGAATCGGTGCCAGCAGGGCGAACCTTTGGCGGTCCTTGAAGCTGACACGTGTGAGACTGGGGAGAACCTCCTGTAGGACGTTCGAGCCGCCTCCGCAGCGTCCACATTCGAAACGCCAGGGACGCACGTTTCGAACTTGAGTCAACATGGCTACGGAGCAACCATGCCGCTGTATGGAGCTTTGGGAAATGACACGAAAGAACAATGTACCGCTTGAGTTCCAGGAAGATGAAACAACAAACAAACAACCAAATAAACACAACACTTATTACATGCCGCGCTGGGTGCGTTATCCCACTTCGTGGGGTTAGCAAACTGTCCTCTGGGAGGTCCCGTGCACCTCGTCGCCTCATGTTACTACAGATGCCTCATTATACACGGGTAAGAACCGCTGGAGCCTGATGCCCCACAACACACTCACAAACAAAGCACTGTAGCCCAATGTTTGAAACGTCTGTGGCAAATTCCCAATCGGGCCTCGGTCGATCCCGCCGACCGCGCGGAGCATGAGGGAGGCAAGGCCCGTAACGCTTCCATGAAGGGCAACATGGTCCAAACTGGCCTCTCCAAGACTGTCCCCAGACGCCTCCAAACCCACGATGCCCTCCAGACGGGCCAAGAGGCCCCAAACACGCCCCAAGAGGGCTCCGATAGGACTTCCAGGAGACCAAACTCATCGATCCCCCGTTCGTTATTCCATGATTTTAGCGTTCTCGCCTTTTCGGGCTTCCGACGCTCCACAACGGCCCGTATGGGCTCCCAAGATCGCCCCAAGGCGTCCCAAAAGGATCCCAATATGCCCGCAAGACAGCCCAAGAGGGCCCCAAGATGGCCCAAATGACCTCCAAGACGACCCAAAAACTTCCAAGGAGGGGCCCGCGACTGCCCAGAGAGGCCCCCGAGACGCCCTCCCAAGGTCAATAGGGTCCCTGCGAGGCCCAGACAACCCACGCCAGGAGGCCTCCAAGAAGCCCCTTCACAGGCTCCCAAGAGGCTCCCTGGAAGCTCCCAGGAAGCTCCAAGACGACCTCGACAGGTCCCTTTGTCCCTGTCCTTCCCCTCGTCCTCCTTCTGCTCCCTCGCCTCCTTCTTTCTCTTTCTCTCCCCAGTGCTCCCCCTGATGGGTTCCACAATGGCTGGGGACCACATGGTCCAATAGCTTGGTCAGACTTTGGCCCAACGTTTAACCGCATGGGCTTTTTTCAAAAGGCAGGGGGCGGTGGGGGTTCGCCGTAGGCGTCTTCGATCCACCCCCTTCTGCTTGCAAAGCGGTGCACGGCGTGCCAAGTTTTCGGGTATGCATTTTGGCCTTTCCGAATGCTTCCCAATGAGGTCTCGGCCCAATCCTTCGGCCATGCGAACCCCCCCCCACACGCACACACACACACACACACACACACACACACACACACACACACACGCGCACACGCACACGCACACGCACACATACACACACACACTCACACACACACAGACACACACACACACACCAACATCTAAGCAAATAGCCCTACAAGACTGCCAAGATAGCCTCACAGACGGTCCAGGATGGCATCCAGTACTTTCAACAAGGCCCCAAGAGAACCCAAGATGGCTACAACATGTCTTGTTCCAAGAGGGCCAAATATGGACCTAAGACGGCCCAAGATGGCCTCCAGGTGGCCCCCGGTACGGCCCAAGAGGGCTCCACGAAGCCTTCAAGAGGGCCCGAAGAGGTCTTGATGCTCCTTAGGTGTTTCCCTGAAAAACTTGCCTGGTAGGGGTCATTTTTCTAACGCCCGGTGAGGGACGCAGGGCACCCGAAATCGGTGGCCCTTCGTTGCCCATCATCGTTGCCCCCCCCGATCATTGCCGCCCATCGTTGCCCCCCATCGTTGGTCCACCGTTGCCCCCCATCGTTGCCCCGACATCGTGGCCTCCCACCATGGCCACTCCATCTGTAGTGCCCTCTCTAGTTTGTGTGTTTCCTTTCTTTTTTACTCTGGAATCTGAAAGGCTGTTTATGGTCTTCCGCCGCTAGGGTATCATTTGAAGAGTTTCGCGTTCTCGCCTTTTCGGGCTTCAGACGGCCCAAAGGCCTCCAAGGTACCAAGAGCCCCCAAGAGGGCCCCGAGACGGGCTAAGAGGGCCCCAAGGAGGGCCAAGATACTGCCAAGACGACAAAGAGGGCCCCTCGACGGACCAGGTGCCCCCCAAGGCGGCCTCCGAAGGCCAAGCGGCCCCGTGTAACCCCCCAGAGGCTCCCCCAAAGACGCCCACGAGGTTCCAGGAGGCCCCAAGAGGCCCCTCAGAGGCATCCGAGAGGCTCCCAGGAAGCCCCCCAGGAGGCCCCAAGAGGGCCCCAAGAAGCATCCCCTTCCTCCTCGTCCTCCTCGTCCTCCTCGTCCTCCTCCTCCTCCTCCTCCTCGTCCTCCTCGTCCTCCTCCTCCTCCTCCTCCTCCTCCTCCTCCTCCATTCATCTTCCTTGTAAAATAACTCTTCCATGTCGCACCCAGGGGCGTACTGGTAGAGCGGGCCAGGCGTTTCGCCTGAGGCTTCCCCACCATGTATGATCCTTAAGCCGAAGGCTTGCAAGAGCTGCACGGATAGAGGACGGTCCGCTTCAAAACTGTGGCTCTCGCCGTAGTGCCGCGCACATTCGATTAACAAATTGCATGAGCTTCACGGACGGAGGGCTCTCGAATAAGAGCCATGCGCACTCGTCATAAAAACTGGAAGGGCTTCGCGGCTGGAGGGCAGCTCATTCTCAAGATGTTGCTCTCGCCTCAGCGCCGCGCACATTCGTTTCAAACAAGTGCAAGAGCTTCGCGGACGGAGGATGGCTCTTTTCAGCGTGTGGTCCCGAAACGATGTTGTTGCACGATGCCGGACTGCCAGAGCGCACCAGTTGCGACGAGTCGCGGTGTTGAAATCCAAGGACAGCGTTCAAGAACGATTCAGGATCGTCAATACGCAGCAATAACGGTGATTCGCTGCGTTGAAGTCCCAGGAACGACTTTCTGGCACAGCTCAAGATCTAAAAGCTGTTATCTTCCAACAAGGCACTTCCCTCAGTGGAAATGAACCCTCGTAGGGACCTATTGGAGGGAGGGCTGATTGCACTATCGTTGATGAGTCTTAGGTTTGCACTGGTCCTCCTTCCTCCCCCCAGGGTGTATCTCCATGGTTTTCTACCGCAGCTGTGGACGCATGGTCCAATAGCTTGGACAAACATTGCCAAAACGTTTGGCCAAATCTGCAGTTGCAGAAAGTCCAGGGGCGGAGGTGATTCGCCGCAGGCATCTTCCATTTTCCATGGATGGCCATGACGTTGGCAATACCAGATGCATGACGCCAGGATGGTGAGGAGACTTTGGCGGCAAGGACGACGGCGATGTCGACGATGATTATGACCATTAGGATCGAGGCAGGATCGTGGCAAGTATCATATCATGCATTGCTCCATTGGTAGGAAAACACGGTGGCAGTTGCCCCCTAGTCATGCGCGAGGAGTGGTGACCTTCCCACGACTTGTCAGACGTCCATTCGCTCCATGATCCATGGAGGAGGACAACGACGACGAGGACGAACAGAGAGTCCCCCTAGTCATGCGCGAGGAGTGGTGACCTCCCCACGACCTGCCAGACGTCCATTCGCTCCATGATCCATGGAGGAGGACAACGACGACGAGGACGAACAGAGAGTTAACGAGGAGGAGGAGGAGGAGGAGGAGGAGGAAGAGGTATGCCTCATGTTCCTTCCCCCTCCTCCTCCTGCTCCTCCTGCTCCTCGTCCCAATCCCAGCATCGCGTCCTCCCTCGCCTCTTATCCTGCCTCCCCGCTCCTCCCCCTCTTTCTTTCTTGCTTCCTCGCTCCTCCTTCCTCGCCCCTGCTCCCTCCAGAGTGTTCCCTTCAGTGGGCGAGCCGCAGGGTTGAAGCACCCTCCTCGCGCGAGGGCCCCGAGGCAGCAACGGCGTCGTCGCGCCGTGCGGCGACTGGCTGGCACCGTGGTCGCGGCTGGGCACCCGTAGGGGCCCAGGAATAGCCAGACGGACCCTCTGGAGGCAACACACAACGCAGGCGGACTCTGCCCGTGCCCCCCTCGTCACCACCACCACCACGACTAGTCACCATCACCTCCAGCGCTGGCTCGGGCAGTTCAGGGAGCTGCGGGGGAAAGCCTCTGCGAGGAAGGCCCTCCGACGCCAGGCCTCCAAGCCACGCCGCCAAGCCCGGCGAGCCGCGGAGCACCCTCTGGCGTCACGGACGGCTCCAAATCTGCACGTTTGATACCATGGCGCCTGAGAGCCACGTGACAGAGCCCGCTATACCATGGAAGAGCGCCACCCTCCAGGGACGGTCGGCGACCTGGACCTCGTCGATGCGACGCCGAAGCGTCTTCAACGAGCGGCGGGCCGACGTGCATCGCAGAATACGGAGGGACCTGCCGCTCGAGAAGAGCGAGAACCGTCAGAGTCCTCCTCTCTCCCTCCTCCCTCCTCTTCGTCCTCCTTGGTCCTCCCTCCGTGAGGGTCCTTCTAGCTGTTCCTGGGGCCCCTCCCTCCTCTTCGTCCTCCGTGCTCCTCCCTCCGCGAGGGTCCTTCTGGCTGTTCCTGGGGCCCACTGGCCGCCACGCGCGCCAGCTAGACACTAGCTGAGCACGAGCGCTGGCGAGGGAATTCCGCCAAAATCGCATTATGTTTCGGAAGAGCGCGCAGACTGGGACCGTGCGCGATAGGGGCCCTCGGTCGTGCCGCGAAGCCGAGGGGGGTGGGGGGCGAAGAGGGAGCGAGGAGGACGAGGGGCAGAGACAGAAGAGGAGGAAATGGAGTTTGTGGAGGCAGGAGGTGGTGGGGAGTAGAGGAGGGGAGGAGGGGAAGGAAGGTTGAATCATGGGGATGCTTGTGAGTAGGAAGGCGGAGGAGAACCGCACCCACCCTGGGTACGATCCGGAGGGGGCGGCACTGTGATGGACTCCCAGTGGGCAAAAGTCTACGACATGTCGTAGTTGGGGATCGCCCAGGGACGAGGTCTCTTTTACACTCGCATCGACGGGGGGTCGCAAGGACCCCAAAACTCGACAACGATCTATAACTTGTGGGAGCGCTCTGATGCGAGATCTCACCTGCATCCACGATTTGCCTGGATCTCCTGGCACTCAAGCAGTGACGGCAAATCTGCACATAGGCAGACACAGAAACGATACCGATTTTTTAGTCGCGTCTCATGGGCGCTCCGCTGGACCCCCTTATGAGCTCGCAAGACGACGAAGGTTCTGCACCATACGGGGGCGCTGCCCATGCGTGCAAGTGTCTGGGAGCGCTCGGTTGGACTACCCCGGCGCAGGATGTCTCCGGAGATCCCTGGAGGTCCCTGGATCTATCCGTTGAGCTGTCCGTATGTGTTTATACCCCGCGGGGTAGCGGCCACCCCGCGCACGTCCAAGCACGTCCAACACACATTTCTTTGAGCCTCGAGGATCGAGGAGGGGGAAAGGGAGCGGGAGTGGAGGTGGACAGCAGGCCGAGGCTCGGGCGCCTCGGCGGGCGGTTATCCCAGCACGCGGCTCTAGAAGACACTCGAGTGTGTTGCTGCTCTCGGGTGGACGGTGAGGGAAGGGGGCAGCTGTGGTGTAGGCTCCTCCTCCCTCTCGTCTCCCTCCTCACTCCTCCTCCTGAATCTCCATCTCCTCTGACAGTAACTGAGGGAGGGGCAACTTCCACGAGAGCCTCCGTCCTCCTCCTCCTCCTCCTCCTCCTCCTCGTCCTCCTCTTCCTGCTCCTTCTCCTCCTCCTCCTCTTCCTCCTCCTCCTCCTCCTCCTCCTTCCCTCGCCCCCCTCCCTCGTCCCCATCACCTCCTCCTCCCCCTCCTCCTCCCCCTGCTGCCCCTCCTCCACCTCGTGGTCGTCGTCGGCGGCGTCGTCGTCGTCCTCGTCCTCGTCGTCGTCGTCGTCGTCGTCGTCGTCGTCGTCGTCGTCGTCCTCGTCCTCGCTCGTCGTCGTCGTCGTCGTCGTCGTCGTCGTCGTCATCCTCGTCGTCGTCGTCGTCGTCGTCGTCCTCGTCGTCGTCGTCGTCGTCGTCGTCGTCGTCGTCGTCGCCCCCCCCACCTCCACGTCGCCCCCCTCCCCACCTCCACGTCCACCTCCACATCCTCCTTCTGATGAGGATGGCTGCCACCCCCGCGTCCCTGAGCGTCCAACTTGGTGGGCTGCAGCTGGCATCCGGGGGGGTCCGACTTTGGGGCCGCCTCCCCGCTCACTGCGGCGCCAGGAGCAGCAGCGCGACCGCCGCAGCCAGGAGCGCGGGGGCACCGGCCAGGGCCCGGTGGCCGCCTGGAGGAGGAAGGAAAACAGGACGGCGACGACCCCTACTCCCCCTCCTGCCCCTCTCCCCCTCCTCCCCCTTCTTTCTCCCCCTCCTCCCCCTTCCCCCCCACTCCCCCTTCCTCCTGGGCGACCTCTTAGAGGGGGATGGGGCGGAGGAAGGAGGAGAGGGAGGAGGAGGGAGAGGGATAAGGAGTGAACGTACCTTGAGGCGGCCACGTCTGTCAGCCCAGCACACGCACACGCCTGACTAGAGAGAGAGGCGGCGCGTGAGACGGCGGACAGCGGCTCAACGCCACAGGAGAGATTGACGCTCGGCCGCTCTGGCATCACCAATGCTGCAGTGAGCATGGGGCCATACACGGGGAGCGGATTGTAGGTCGTGTGGGATGCTCGGGAAAGTGGGGAAAGCGGGGACGGGGGGCAAAGGCGAATGGGAAGAGCGGGAAGTAGAGGTCTTGTCGGGGGGCGCTCGGCTGGCCGCGACAGCGGGGCTACATTCACAGGCGAGCTCCTCAAGCCTACTCAACATCGTCGCGGGCACGTCGACGGGGGGCATGGAGAGGACGATCTGGCAGGGTCTTCCGCCACCAGCGGCAGCGGCAGGAAGAGCATGTTCGTGGGGAACAGCGTCGGCCACTCCAGACGGCGGGACGACATGAACAGGATCATGTAGGGCTTCTTCGGGACAGGCACGGGCGGCTTCCTCCAGCTTACTCAGCGTCGTCGCAATCACATCGACGGGGGGCGTGGAGAGGGCGGCCTGGCGGGGTCGTTCGCCACCAGCGGCAGCGGCAGGAGGAGTTTGTGTGTGGGGTGCAGCGTCCGGCACTCCAGGCGGCGGGACGGTACGAGCAGCAACGCGCAAGCCTTCTTCGGGATCCACCAGACGATCTGCCAGATCAGCATGAGCCTTGCAGCAGCAGCGGAGTTGAAGAAGGGCGGATCGGCGAAGGTACTCGACGCCAGGGACCGCCAAGTCATGTCGATCGTCTTCGGAAGGATCGCGGCGAACGTCTTCATGCAGGTGTTCTCCGTGCAGGTGAACGGCATGCAGGTGTACTTCATGCGAGTGTACTTGAGGATTGTCATGCAGGTGTGCTCCAGGCAGGTGTACTTCATGCAAGTGTCCGTGAGGATTGTCGTGCAGGTGTTCTCGATCATGGTCAGGAAGATCTTGTACGGGAAAGTCGCCACGCAAGGCGGCTGCGAGAACATGTTGTTCGCCGCACTCGGCGGTGTCTTCGGGGACTGGGTCGCCACCAGCGGCGGCATCATCACGGGCAGCAGTGTCCTCTACTGTCAGGTCGCACTCCACAAGGTCGAGCCACGCGTCGAAGCAGCGTATGAGCGGCCTATTCTGGAGTAGCGTCTTGCGCCGTGCGGCTCGATGCCATTCGCGGACAAGTGGACGGAGAGCAGCGCGGGCATCGCCAGCAGCACGAGGTCGGGCGCCACCAGCAGCGGCGGCTCGCGAAACAGGAACATCACGAGGTTGAGCGCCAGCAGCGGCAGCGGCATGCACGGCGGGCCGACGAGCATCGGGGACAACACCAGCGTCACGAGGATGAGCACCACCGGCGGCAGTGGGATGCAGAGCAGGTTCAGGAGCGCCAGCGCGGCGCCGAGGAAGAGGCCCAGCTCCATGTAGAGGAACGTGTTGGGGAAGCGGTCCAGCACCGTTGCAAAGAGCTTCAGGCGCGGCCTCGCCACGGGGAACACGGCCACGGGCGGCTCCAGGGACGTGGCGAAAGTCATGCAGAAGAGCGTCAGCGACACCATCGGCGTCGGGGTCAGCAGCGCGGAGTTCGTGACGTGCGGGTGGTGGCAGAGGGCCAGCTCCGTGACGTTGGTCAGCTCGGACGGGCAGCGCAGCGCGCAGAGGTCCAGCACCATCATGGGGCCCATCTTGCACACGACGCCGCTGGATGAAGTCCGCGACCTCTTGGAGCTCATGGCTGCCGCAGACGCCCAGCGGGTAGAGCGGGATGAGCTTGGTCGGCAAGTGACGTGCACAAGCAGGTGGAAGTAGATCGTGAAGCCGAAGAGGTACACGGAGTGGGCGACGACTGAATCCCAGCTGCATCGCACGGCATTGGCGAGCATGAGCCGCGGCCTGCGATCGGCAGTGGGGCATCACCGCTAGGCCACTGTGCAGCGAGAGCAGCGCGAGCATCTGCAGCAGCGCCAGACCGATCGGGATCACCCAATCGTGCGCGAACATGGACATAAGGAGACGCGGCCGACGGCGGCGGGCGGCGCTGCGCTTGGCCAGGAGGCCTTGGGCGAGACAGCTGTGGAACTCATTTCGGCCCAAGTCCGAGATCCCACGGAGGGGACGGACTTGAGCCAAAATGGCTACGGAGGGAGAGGGATAAGGAGGATGAGGAGGATGAGGAGGAAGAGGAGGAGGAGGAGGAGGAGGAGGAGGAGGAGGAGGAGGAGGCGGACGACGACTATGTTTGTCGCCCTCCTTCTCGTCCTCTCCCTCTTATCGAAAATCGAAGTGTGTGGGCGCTTGGGATATTTACTTGTTTGGCCCTGGACGGCCTCCTGAGCCTTCCAGTGACCTCGGGGACCGCCAGGCATCCCCAGAGACCTGCAGAAACCTTCAGATATACATCGTCGTCCTCCTCATCGTCACCCGCCTCCTGCATGTCACCCGTCATCGTCCTCCTCCGCCCCCTCGTCCGCGAGGAGGAAGAATGGGGGAGGAGTTGACGACGCGGGGGCGGAACCAGAGGAGAAAGCGGAGGAACAGCAGGAAAATCAAATCCTCCTCCTCCTCCTCCTCATCCTCCTCCTCATCCTTCTCCTCCTCATCCTCCTCCTCCGTCCTTCTCCTTCTCATCATCATCTCCGTTCCTTCTCCCACTTTTCTTCCTCCCCCCCCCGCTCTTTCCCTCCTCCTAGCTTGTTCCTATTCCTCCTCTTTCTCCTTCTCCTCCTCCTCCTCCTCCTCCGCCTCCTCCTTCTCTACCTTCTCCCGCTCCCTCGGGGGGGACGAGAAAGATGAGGAGGGAGAAGAGGAATGAAGCGGGGAAGGGGCCAGGATAGAGAGGGGGGGGGAGGCGAAACAAATTGGAGGGTTGTGGAAGGGGCTTTAGGCTTTAGGGGGCTCAGGGGGTAGGGGGCGTTGCCTTAGTGGATTAGTTGTGTGATTGAAGCGCTCGGCTTTCTCGGCCCCGAGTATTGGGCGGGCTCCCTTTCTCTTGCTTCTGTCTATGCTTTGCTCTCTTTCTCTCTCCCTCTCGTCTTCCCCCTCTGGGGGCCCAAGCCTTTCTGGTTCAAGCTGGGGGTCGGCCTCAATTGGCCCGAGGCCAAGTACTCCAGAGGCCTACTCCGGAGGCCCACAAGGTTCTGGGAGCATCCCGGCAGCGGGCGCCGGCCGCGCGATGACGCGCTGCGGGGCGCCGGGCAGCTGGGCGGCAGGCGCGGTGCCCACGACGCCCGTCGCTGCTGGGCGGAGTGGAATGGACAGCCGCTGCGTGGCACGGGCTACCGCCCGCCGCACAGCGCCGCCGGCCGCCCATCTCCTCGCCGGGATGGCGGGCACGGTGAGGGGGCAGCTGGGCCCAGCAGCGCGCCCGGCGGCGGGCTGGTGGCGATCGGGCTCACGCTTGGCGGGCTCCTGCTGGGTCGCGGCTGGAGCCTGCCAGGCCCCGCGAGCTCGGGGACGAGGTGCCGGGGGAGCCTGGGTCGCTGCCGGCGGGGGCATCCCCGCCGGGCGAGGCCGCCCAGGCCGCCGGCCCCCCATGGGGGAAGGGAAGCAAGTCAGCCCCGCCCCGACCCGGCGTATCCAGACCATCTTCTGGAACGGGGGCTGGGGAACCTGGACCCTCCTTGGGGAAGCGAGCCTGGCCTGGAGAGCCGCGAAGGGGTAGGGCTCTGGGCCTCTGCGACCGTCGAGAACCTCAGAGGCCCCTTCTCCACCCAAAAGGAAGCGGGATGGCTCAGCAAGGATGGGGACTGCCTGCTGCACCTCACCGATTACGGGGGCGTCCACTGTTTCGGCGCGGCCTGGCCGCTCGTCGCGGGGCTCGGCCTCGCCCCGATCTTCACCAAGATCTTGGCCATGACCGCGCACAACTTCGGACCGTCTTTGTCCCGTTGTCCAGTGCAAATGGTGCGTCTGGTTGCTCAGCGGCATCATCAGCCTCTTCAAGTCCCCTCGATGCTCGCACGTTTCTGCCGCCGACGGTGCTACCCGAGCACGGGCGCCACAACCACCACCGAAGATTTCGCCAAGAAGATCAAGGAGCAGGGCCCGAGCTGGAAATTCAACGACGTCCTCATCAAAATCGACTTGCACCTGGCCCGCCTCCGCGTCGACCCGCAAGCCATGATTGTGGATCAACTACGAAGCTGGCAAGAGTGCTAGCTCCAGCGCGCCGCGGCAGCGGCTTCAGCAAACCAAGCCGAAGCCGATCCATCTCGATCGCGCTCACAGCTGCAAGGTCGAAGGCGGGGACATCCACACGCAGCCCTCGACTCCGAGGCCATCGTCGACGCGGACGCCCACGCCAAGTTCCTGCTAGGGGCTGGCCATCGTGTAGCGCTTCGTCATCGAAGGGGCTCGTCTGTCTTGGCGTGGAGCTCTACTCTTGGGCTACGTGATCTGTGGTGTTGCGGCCCGCGTCGCCGACGTCGCACTGCGACCTGCCTCCGTACCAACCGCGACCAGGTTTTTCTGGGCGGTGACATGTGCTCCCAGCTCACGTGCTACCGCGAGGCCGTGGGCATGTCTGCGCGAGCACGCCAATGCCGCGGCCAGCAGCTCAGCCTCAGGAGCCAAGGAGGCCAAGAGCAAGCTCCGCTTGCAGCCGATGGCCGTGAGAAGCACTAACCACTATACCCTCGAAGTGACGCATGGCCAAGCCGCCGAGCGGGCCAGCTCCCCGGCGGCTGCTGCCAGCAATCCCGCCGCCGAGGCGCCGAGGGGGCGAGCGCATGAGGGGTGCCGCGCCGGTTGCCAGGCCGCCCCTTGCGAGGGCCGAGGCCTGGCTCGGCCCCACCCCCACGAGGCCAGGCCCTCCTCAACGCTCCCTGGGCATCTAACTGCGCTCCCCAGACATGCCCGCGATGATGCCGCGCGTCGGCCAACCGAGCCGCATGACCAGCGGGGAGGCCATGCGGCGGTCCCCTGCGCCCGCCAAGCGCGCGCCACTGCGGCTTGGGCGGCGGCCGCTTAGGCGGCCCACCGCTGCGCGAGCCCAAGCCGGCCCCGGCGCCGACGTCAGCGGAGCGGGAAGCCCACGCGTGCAGCTGGTGCGCGGCTCACCCCGACTGCCGCCCCGAGCTCGTCGTGAAGCGGTGGCGAGGGACAAGCGGCTGCTGCGGGCCGCGGGGGGGGGGGCCGCGGAGGCAGCTCGAGCACTCAAGACCGTCAGGGAGCACCACCACATGACATGGATGCTGGTGCCAGTCCGAGCAGCCCTTTGCGCATGGTGCGGTGCTGCCTCTCCAGAGTCCGTGGGCATGGGACAGAAGCTAGTGAGCAACGCCGTGAAGTCCCACGGCTACCTGAGTAAGAGGACGGCGGGGGCTCGCTGCGCGTGGCGGAGTCTGGATCCGCAGGGTAGCGCATTCTGTGGAAACATCCTCGTCGTCGTGGCCGTCGCCGCCTCCTCTCCTCCTTCGAACCCTTGCACGGTTTGGGGGTTTTCGTGAGTGCGATCATTGCTGACAGACACAACTTAGTTGTTTGATTAAGCGCGAAGCTTTCTCGCCCTCAGGATTGTGCGGGCTCCCTCTCTCTTGCTTCTGCCTGTGCTTTGCTCTCTTTCGTTTTCCCCCTCTGGGGTCTAAGCCTTTATGGGTCAAGCTGGCCCACCCAGGGGGGGTCATCAGCGGCCCCCACCCCCCGCCCTGTGCTGAACAATTTCCGTCGCCGTCACCACAACGGTCCAGGCGGCGGTGAAGGTTCGATGCGCCTGTCGGAAGGTGGATCCGCAGAGTAGCGCATCCTGTGGCTTCTAGGAGGAGGAGGAAGAGGAGGAGGAGGAGGAGGAGGACGAGCACACAAAGCAGTAAAAGAAGGGGAGAAGATGAGCGTACGTTCTAGGAGGATGCGGGGCACGATAGAGTAGCCAGAAGGCTTTACGTAGAAGATCCTGGGATCCAAGGTCTAGGGGCTTCTACAAGCTCGGGAATGTGTTTTTTCCTAACGCCGGTCCACGGGCCGACGCTGGCTTGGAGCTGGTCGCATGTAAGTGCGGGTAAAGCGATGCGGGGCTGAACCGCCTAGCTTACACCCCATAGCTTGCGCAACATAGCTTGCACCACATACTTGCCCTGGCCGAGCGTGTTCAGTTGCGTGACGATCGCCGACCCGTTGGGGGTTCCTCGGCGTGTGAGATGGCTGCCCTTCCCCAAGCCCCACCCAAAGAAGCTCAGCCCTGCCATTTTGGAAGGGGGGTCCCATTCAACGGCTCATCTGGCCCTGAAAAGCTCCAAGGCGCAACAAAAGAACCCGATTAACCTTCATTACGGATGACGGTCCGCACGTGCTCTAGGATGGCCCAATATACGTCCAAGAGGGACACAGATGGCCTCAACAAAGCCCCAGAGGCTCCCATGACGGCACAAGAGAGCCCCAGGTGGACTTGAAAGAGCGCGCCAAAAAGCAAACATCGTTGATTCCTTAGGCTTCTCCGCGTTGTTGACGTGCTCGGCTTTTCGATCTTCAGGGTGTCTAAGACGACCCAAGAGACTCCCCTCCCCAAGATCGCCCCAAGACGGCCCAACCAAAACCCAAGAACCCAAAACGGCTCCAGGGGGATTGCACACAAAGCCCCGAAAATTGTCCAAGAGAGCCCCATCAGGGCCCCAAGAGGAGCCCAAGGGGAAACGCGAAGACGCCATACGAGCCCGCCCGCACAAGATGGCCCCCGAGACGTCCAACATGCCTCCAAGAGAGCCCAAGAGTCCCCCAGCTGCCCCCAAGAGGTCCCCAAACGACCCAACAAGGACCCTTTTGAGCACGGTGTTGGGTATCCCAAATGTGCGAACGGCGCCAATACGCTTCTACGCCCCCGCCCCCTGAAAGAGAGGCATCCTTAAGGACTCCCACGCTGTCAGCGGTGCGGCGTACGCCAATGAATCATGGTCCAATTGGCTCCAATTACTTGTGTGCGAAGGTCACGCTGATCCAACTTGTATGCCGTCCAGGTCCCTTTTCTGGCGGTGTGGAAGCATTGTGGAGTCAAAACGTGTAGATAATCAGTGGATACCGGGGCCCCGAAAGAGACCGGATCCACGGAGCCTTGGACTTGCAGGGCGCTGCTATGATTATACGCGGGAAGGTTGGCTGGGGCGCAACGGCATGCATGTGGTTGGGGCGCAACAGCGTGCCTTTTTGGCTTTCGATTGGTGTTCTGGCGTCGGTGCCACGTTGGGAAAATATTCCCCTGCCCGCAGGGTGTTGAGAGGGACGCGGCGGAGGTTGATTGTGATCATGATGAGGCTGATGGGGATGAGGAGGCTTGGGAGGAGGGGGATGAGGATAAAGATGGAGTGTCCGAACGGTTCCAGTGAGTCTCGGGAGAATTACAATACGTCCTAGAATTCTAGAGGGCTCGAGGGGAAGCGGAGAGGGTGGAAGCGATGGATCAGGAGGGTGGTGATGCGAAGGAGGAGAAAAAGTATGAGGATAATAGGAAGGAGGAGGTGGAGGAGGAGGAATCAGATAAAGACAGAGGGGAGGGAGGACGTTGGGAGGAGGGAGGTGTGGGGGACACCGCTGCACTCGATCTCGCAGCTCCCCTTCTGGAACATGTTCAGCTTGTTCACGACCTGAAGGAGTGGGGGGATCGCAACGGGGGAGGGAGAGGGGAGGCGGACAAGCTACATCGGCTCAATGACAATTCTTCGAATTTTCGTCACGTCGCTCGCTCGCAGAAGCCGGCGGAAGTAAAACGAGGCGGAAGACGGCGGAAGGCCGTCGGAAGGCTTGCGGGAGACAGCGGGAGTAAATGACGCCCCGTCCAAGCCCCCCTACCCCCCGTAGAAGCCTAGCAATGTAGTCTTCTGCCGTGGGCCGGGCGGGATCCCGCCTAACATACCCCCTTGTAATATCGTAACTTTAGTTCAGTCAGTCTATACATCTCACCCATTGAGCATAGGGTAAACAACTATCCCGGGTCGTTCACGGATCTCGCCATGCTGGGATCGGCTCGAAGTAGATTTCGGCTCCGAAGTTGCAGCAGTCCTGGCGTGTCAGGGTCGTCTTGAGGTCAAATTGAGATCATATCTCGGTCATGCTTGGATCGCGCAGCCGTCGCGTGACCATCCTGGGGCCACCCTGGGCGCGCGTGGATCCATCTTCTTGCCATCGGGCCATCTCGGAATTACTCGTGGCTCATGTTTGGTCATCTTCGAGTCGGCCTGAGACGGTCCAGAATCCATGGCGGGATCGTGTTAGGGTGGCGTCGTCCCAGGGTCGGCTGGACGTTATCGCCTTTGGCCTCAGGCCCTCCTGGAACCACTTTGTGGCCATAGGGGCGTCTTGGGATCTCGCGCGCGTGAGCGCTCAGAACGCGCGCGCGACAACTCATCTCGCCGATGGGTGTACACGCATATACTTCTTGGTGCGAGTTCCCAAGGAAACTCTTGCTGGAGCCAAGTAAGTGCGCCCGCGCCCGCCTTATCTGATTTGATACCCCTTCCTCCCATCCCTTCTTACTGCGCCGCTGTTTTTGTTTCTCCATCCGCAGACGCTTGCCATAGTCGACTGGGAACTCAAAAACGAGGACGAACAGCAGCTGGAACTGGAGTGGTAGGAGTGGGAGAAGCAGGAAGAGTAGGGCAAGGCGGAGGAGGGGAAATGAGGGGGGGCGATAATGATGAAAAAGGACTCGGATCCAGAGAAGTAGCCCGCGCTCGGGCGAGAGCGCCATGCTGAACGATGGGAGCACAGCGCCGATCCGAAAATGAGGCACACGCTGCAGCGGGGGCGCCATGTTGAAACACCGAAAACAATCGGATTGCAATTTCACATCGTTCTTTGGGGACTGGTGTCAAGAATGCGCGGAGAGAGCCGAACATATTTCGCACAGCACCAGGGGAGAGAGGAGAGTAGTATTCATAATGAGCAGTTGTGGCATGGACTCAGGCCTCCGACGTTTTGACCTTTCAATCGCGTGAATCTCTGGAGCTCTCGACCACTCGACCACATCCTCCGCGTTGAGCTCCACGCCCGTGAACCAACTGCTGTGAGCCCTGGGGCCGCAGGCGGGCCTTCGAAGATCCAGACCAGGAAATACCAGCCACCCGGTGTTTGCGAGACGGTCGAAAACTGGGGATTGACTCCACGTGCACAAAGTGTGGCACGAGGGGGCCGGTCTCCTGAAAAGAAGGGGGGGCTTCTTAGAGGGCAGGAGCCTACTTGGAAAAGCATCGGTGCTTCTAAGACGGCTTCTCAAACGCAGAGCTTCTAGTCATGCTTCTTGAAAGTTTGCAGGGTTCCGAAAGAAGTCCCCTGCTCTCGTAGCCGCTCCTCCGCCTTCTTCGAAGACAGCCCCGCTCGCGCGAGCCGCTAAGGAAAGCCTGAGATACGACGTGTGTTGGGGGGTGGGAGACGTCGATGTCGTGACACGGATCGCGCCCCGGAGCCCGCCCGCGCCCGTCTCCCCGCGACGCTCCTCGAGCCTGACCGATACAGAAGGGCCCGGGCGCCTGAAACTGCGCGAGGACGTGGGGGGGAGGGGAAACGTCAGCATCGTGGCGCACATCACGACCCGGCCCCGCGCCTGTCTCGCCGCGGTGCTCCTCGAGCCGGGTCGATCCAGAAGAGCCCCGAGCGCCCGAAGTCGGGCGATAATCCCCGTCGTGCTTTCTTCGCACGACGCCCGAATCCAAGAGGAGCGGCCGACTCTCGCCCGAAGTCTGTTCCCAGACCCATCCCAGACGCCACCCCAATCATTCTTTCGAGCTGCGTCCCCAGCCGCCGCCACGAAGGGCCTACGGCAGGCCCCAAACAGGCAGACAGCCCCAACAAAAATGTCTGGACCCTCCCCCATCCCTCCCCATCGCGGTGGGAAGCGAAAGCCCTAGGAGTCCACGGCGACGACAAGACCGAACACTAACCGAACCGACATCGAAACCGAAACCAGTCGAAGCCGATGGGCCGAAAGCAGCCTAGAAGGACGCAAAGGCGCTGCGACTGGCCGAACCGAGCCGACTGCAAAGCAGTCGAATCGACCGGACCGTGCACACCCTTGCGTTTCCCTGGTCCCAGCCCCGCCTGGCCGCACAGCTGCGTGACCTGCTTGTCCATGCAGCCTAGCTGCGAGGCGCACGATACGACCGTCTGCATCGCCTCGCACTCCCTGCCCTGTGGGAACCTGCTCGGCGCGCCCAGGAGCCTCCCTGCTGTTTCTCCTCCTCCTCGGCTCCTCCCTCCTTGTCGTTCCTCACCCTCCTTTGTCCTCCTCCTCACCATCATCATCATCATCATCATCATCATCATCATCATCATCATCATCATCATCATCATCATCATCATCACCATCATCATCATCATCATCATCATCATCATCATCATCATCATCATCATCATCATCATCATCATCATCATCATCATTATCGTCATCATCATCATCATCATCATCATCATCGTCATCATCATCGTCATCATCATCAGCATCGTCATCGTCGTCATCATCATCATCATCATCATCATCATCCATTGACTTTCTCCTGCTCGTCCTCCCTCATCCCTCCTCCTCCTCCTCCTCCGCAACGCCCTCATCATCCGTTCCTGCTGCAGTTTCGTTTGGGCGTCTCCACCTGTGGGCACGACTGATCGTCGCGTTGGCGATGTTCTCGTCCACTGGATCTTCGCACGGCTTCGGGTCGGACCCGAAGACGTCGCTGGAGAGGAGGCACTTGCAGGATTCCCTGGTCAGGGAAGAATCGAACAGGGCAGGGCTGTTTTGTAATCGCCCAGGGCTGCTAAGTAAACGCCAGTTGGTTTCCCCACCTTCGGTGAAGAGTCAAGACAAGTCGAGCGAGTTAGAAGGCCCCGCCGATCCCACCCCCCCTTCCGCAAGGTAATAATCAGTGCTGGCACACATGGAAATTTCGCAGCGCCAGAGCGAGAACGACATGTCGCCCGCTCGCGCGCGACCCCCCGCCAACGAGCGGGCGAGCGACAAATATGATCGCCGCTCAAACGGGAACGCCACTTTCACGTGATATCTGTGCGACGCGTGGGCAAGAACGACACCTCCCCGCTCGCGCGGGGCCCGCTGCCGACGAATTGGCGAGCAAAACGTCTGCCACGCCGGGCCACGCCCAAGCGGAAGCGCACCGTTCAGCCGAACTCTACATGGCGCGTGGGCGAGAACCACCGACGACTCGGCGAACTAAACAAACATACGAGCGAAGCTGAGGCCATATACCGAGAGCCGCATTTCGCCCCTTCGCGCGCGCGGCGTCGCACTCTAGCCGCGAATTTGGCAACTTTGTCCACCAAACGTCCATGCTGATTTGGAAAAACTGAGATGCTGCATGTCTTTAGTTACGTCTCGCTCGAGGGTTCCAATATGGCTATAAGGGGGTCAATCATCTCTCCAGATGGGGGAGGGGGGGGGCGGCAGAATGAGGAAAGCTTGCCGCAACCTGCTATTCTTAAAGACTGATGCCTCTTGAATACTCACGGGTGACTTGTAAGGGTGTCTCGAGCGGGAACTTCGGATTTAATGTATTATGAAGACACCTCGAGCCGGAACCGTGTTCTTTGGAGTCCTTCGCGATTCCCTTTTACGATGTTAGGACCCCCTCAGGAGCCATCCAAGAATCTCTGAGGAGGAGGAAGGGAGGATCGAGGAGGGGGAGGATCGAGTTCGAGGATCCGAGATCGAGGAAGATCGAAGAGAAAAACCATGCTACACCCACGGTGCGTCAACGATGCTGCAATACAATATCCCTTCTTCCCTGTCTACATCACCCTCCGTCTCCCTCGAATAAACACGAATGCCCGGTGGGCCTACCACTCAAACGAATGCCCCCTTCTGTAAATGATTCACCGGCAATCTTTATACTTGGCGAAACGAAAAAGCTGGGATGATACATTACAAGAGGTAACGCACTGCCAAAGCCATCATACCGTGTACTCGATTTCTTAGTCTGAAGCGATAACACGATGTTGAAACATAATCGATATGTACGACTGCAACTGTTACATAATCGGACCTTCGGGCCGTAGAATTTGACGAGGCCTCAAAACGAAACCCGCGATTTGAAACCGAACCATCCTCCATGTAACTGTAGGAGTCTTGAACATCGACAGCGCGCGGAGCTCGGCCTAGAGCCGCATTTTGAACACCGGGCGTCCACCATGTCAATTATTGGAAACTGTTGGACGAATGCGCGGCACGATGGCAATAACAGCATTCAGGACACGGACGGCCTGTTGGAAGCTACGAAAATGCATGCGACCAACGCTAAAGCGCCAGCTCTGTTCGGAAACCACCTGTCCCCCCGTCATTGTAACTGCTGGAATTTCCGTACCTCAGAATACTAAGCCGTAGGAGCTGCCTGGCCCGACCTACAGAAACCTCAGGTGGCGCGACACGGGACATTTCTGGTTGCGCGACAAGCATGGAGTTATCCAGAAGGAGGAAGCTTGGTTGAGGAGGAAAAGGACGATCGATATATTTAGACTAAGGGCCCCAGAGGTAAATCAAGGAGGAGGATCGAAGATCCAGGGTCGAATATTACCGAAGAGGTAGCGATGGAGGGGGATGATCAAGGACCGAAGGGCGGAAGATGACTGACGAGGAAGATCGATGGTGAAGAAGATCGAGAATCGATGTGGAGGCCGATCAGGAAACGATGATGACGATGGTTTTGCCACTGCGGAAAAGGAATGTACGCCTGCTTGTGCGTATGTGCCTTTACGGCCTTGGCCACTCAGCATGGAGCCACTGCAAGTGAGTGGGGCTCTCGTGCCTCGCCAAATCCAAAGCCTGGGTGCCTGCGGATCATAATATTATGTTCCTTTCGCTGGTTCGGGCCCCCCGGGCTGCAGTCGACCAGTAACCGAAAGAATGCGATGCCCCCGCGATTCGGGAGCTGACCGCACAAGGAGTCAGGCAAGAGAGAGACGTGATCCCTCTCGGCGTCCTCGCCTCAGGGCCAGCCCCCACTCGCAAGGTTAGCTGCGAACTGCGCGCAAGCCACCGCGGGCGACAGGGAGGGCGACTGGCAGGAAAGACGGCTACTGTAAACCTCTGGGCATGGGCTGAGGCAGCATGCTCGCGCACTAGGCGTCCTTCTCAGGATGCCCAGACATGAAGTCCATCGCGAGACCAGACACATCTCGCACCTGCTGTCAACAATACCATTCTGAGCCCAACGGAACTGTCTTGCGGAACTCGCCGCGCGCGAGGCCGACCAGGACAAGTGCAATCACATCCACCATCGCGAGAAATAGACAAATGAAACTCGTTTCGAGATGCCTGCCGCCAGCGCGGAATAGACCGTTCACCCCTTGGCCACTCCACGTCCTCAACTCAGTTAAACTGCAGGACCTTCCACAAGCGCTTGATGCGATCTGCCGCGTCGCAAGGTTCACCCCCGCCGCAGCCTGCCTTGAGAAAGCCGTTCGCCTGCTTGACCTCCGAAGGGTTGGGCGTCCATGAGTCGGCGAGGAGCGCCCTGGTCTCCTCGAAGGAGCCATCCTCGAGCTTGCACATGCCGCCCCACGTTTCCTCGATGATGCGCCGCTGTGCCGACGATGGCCCTCCTTGCTCCGGCGCGCGCGCGGCAGCGCGGACAGCGCCAGCTGGCGGCGGGGCGCTGGGGAGCGCCCGCGGGGGGCGGGGCAGGAAAGGGGCCATCGCTGCACCGCCGCTGCTGCTCGCGCCAGACGCCGCCGCAATGGGAAATGCGGCGACGGCGTCGGTGGGGAGAGCCTGGCCCAGCTTGCTGCCAATGGCGGGCGCCAGGATGTCACCCTGGCGCTTGAACTCGGCGGCGCGCGCCTCCTTCTGCCCCCGCCCCGACGCGCCCTTGAACCTCGGGTTCCGCTTGGCCAATCATCGCTCCGTGCGACGATGCTCCTCGGAATCGGGCGAGTCGCCGCGGCGACGGCTGCCGCCGCGGCCCCGATCGCGATCGCGGTCGCGGTCGCGCCGGCCCCCGTCGCCCAACCTCGGGCCAAGGGTTGAGCGAATCATGGCCTCGGTCCGCGCCTATGCCTCCGGGCGGCTGGAGACGGCGGGCGCCGGGCCGGGCATAGACGGCGACTGCGGCAGAGACGAAGGCAACCTGATAATGAAGCACGCGGGGGCGCTCTGGCCCCGGAAATTCTACGACGCGCCCAAACGCAACAGTCGAACTAGGAGCTCGCGATGGGCCGGCGGAACGAGCAGCGCCCGAATCGCCGAGAAGCGGCCGACGCATCCTGACAAAGGAACGGGGCAGTGGACCTTGCCCAAGAGTTACGCCACTGCGGTGATATCCAGAGGCCCCAGTTTCACGGGCGCTGCCGATGCTTCAAAGACCAGCTCGTGGACCGCCTGCGCAGACAGACCTAGAGATTGACCCATTCGAAGACCTCGCCTCCCGGAGCTGACCAGAGCAACGCACTGTCGGGGAGAGCGCAGGTTGAAAAAGACACAGCTGCTGGCTCCAGGAATGCGCTCTGGATGGAGACACTCGCGCAGTAGACGGAGCACGAAGGATTCCGTCATCCACGTGCTGGTGCCTTTCCAAAGACTCCTGGATCGACACCGCGACGGAAAAAGCTTCCAGCTCGTCGCGTTTCTTCACGAACGACACTTGCGCAAACCGAATCACAGCGGCAGTCCCAGATCCCAAACGGCGACGAGGCTGCGCGCGAGGCCCACACAAGCAAGGCCCCCAGAAGGACCCCCAAGGGAAGAGCCCTCCAAGAACGAGTCCCAGGACGGGCGGCAGCGGACGCCGTGCACTGCCTACCCTTGGCAACAAACATCGCGCGCGCACAGGCGACGGAGACGAACTGGGGCTCAAGTCGCGTTCAGGCAGGCGAGACATTCACACTCCGGCAGCTCTCGATCGCCCGATCAATGTCGAAGGTCGAGACATGCGGGCAACCGCCCGAGCGGCGGCTACATCGCACGCAACATCCAGACGCAGGCGGCGGGGCAGAATCGGCGAGCTCCCGCGCCAGTGCCCTCGCAACGTCGATGGTGCTCAAGACCTAATGGCCAGCGCCAAAGATCTCGAGAACCGTAAATCGCCCTGCCACGAATCTTCGGCTACGAGCGAAAGGTACACGCGACGCGTCAATGGCCCGGCGCGTGCGCGAATGAAAGATGCGGCCGCGTTTCCATTCGCCGCAGTCGGACTGGAAATTTGCCCGCGCAAGCGGGCACAAGGTGGAAGGGCGCGCATCAGGTGCAGCAGCCCTCCAGGCGCGGAGTAAACACGTGGGCTAAGCTGACATCCAGCCTCATGCTAAACCAGAACGTCGCCTGGCCGGAGCAGAAGATGACGCTGCGGCAACGCCGACTCAGCCAGCATGCGGTGAACAAGATGCAGGCCGATGGCGTCGTCATGGATTTGTCAGAAATTGTTCGCGCCATCGCGACCATCCCGCGCAACAGGCCCACGTGGGCGAAATACTGCTTGTGCAGTTTCAACAGCGGCCTATGCTTCAGGCCGAACAGGCATTGGTAACCGATGAACTTGATCTGCTAACGCGCTTCAAATCCGACGACGAAAACTGGGGCGGAGACCATTGGGTCGACCCCAGTCAGCCCGCGTAGCTTGTAAGGCGCGATGAAGGCGAGCCACCGAAAGTCACGTAGTAAGCTGCAGTGGGCTCGTGTGCGCCGTCAACGGAGTGCGCCGTCCCAGCGTCGCAGGATCCATCAACTGAAAACTATGTAATGCCGAAGAGAGCGGATGGCCCGCTTCACGTGGAACTCATCGGACCGACCAGAGCGTCGCTTTGGAAGGTAGAACGGAAATATGCTGACACAACCATGCAAGGGCGGGTTCGCAGCGCACTTGCTGAAGCGCCTGCCGGAGGAGCATGCGCAACGCATGAAGTCTCTTGACCAACACGCGAAAGAACACAACCAGCGAGACGGATGCAAGAGGCAAGGGGTGCCGAACCCGTAATGTGTTAAGATGGGCCTTTGCAAGAAACCGCAAAGGTAAACCGCGCATTCGAGACTCGATCTGACCAGCCAACTCATACTATGTGTTCTGCCTTTTGCCAGAGAAACCACGGTACGGGAAATATGAGATCCGCATGCTGAAAAGAAGAGGACGCCAGCCTGAGGGATAATATGCAAACGGCTGCGGTCCAGCAAGTTAAAGAAGCCGTGCAGGCCACTGGATATCACCATGTAGCGGAGGTGGAACCAGTACAGCTTCATGAGAGCGCCACCGACCCGACCTGGGCCAGAATGCCTGTTCATGGGTTTCCTCTCTAAAACGTGCTGGAAAATAACGGACATCCAAATCGAAACGTCCAGCCGACTGCGAAACCGCGGGAACGGTCGGCAGTGACGGGCTGCGCGATCTTGCCGATCTTGGAAGCCACGATGTGAACGAGACGCGTATCGTCACCATTGTAGTTCTGGCTTAGAATCCTGATCGGAGCACGTTCCGCTGCCAGCGCCTTCGCATCCGAGGGGCACCACATCACTGGAGTGAAGCCAACGCGCCCGATAGACTTGGGACAGGGCAGTGTGAGGCAGCTCAGAATCACGACCCGAATGAAGACCCACCATTGTGTTGTAATGTTCTGAACAAAGGTCTGGGTGGCCAGGGCGGTTTCGGGCCCGCGCAAGGTTATCTTTGCCGATGAACATATCGCTGTGGCCGAACAAGAGATATATTGCCGAATCCTTGCCAACTGACAGCTGCAAGGAATAATGCTGAAATTGGAACCAATCAGGGGAACCATTGATTATGCGGTGGTGCATCTCCCTCGGCATGGCCATGATGGCTTTGCGCCCCCATCTGGGCGTCTTGCCAGAATGCACTGCAAGACGAAGCTGGGTGAAAACGAACGCCCTAGCCAACAATGCACGAAGATGCCCTGCTGCACCGTGTTTGCTGACACGAGTATGGCCGGGCGCAATCGGATGAAGAATACAATGGGCAGCCTCACGCACGCCAGCAAGGTCGTTCTGAATGGTGCGGTGGCGTGATCATCGCACAGTAGCCTCACCTGTGGCTGAACCTGGCCGATCAAGGTGTGCGCGAAACGCAAGCGAGCAACGGACGACACGAATAAGATGACGGGGTTAAGCACGAGCCGTTGCGAAGAATGTTGCGCGAGCGAACAAACTGAGGGCCGTTTCAAATCCAAATGCTCACCAGTCTTACGATGATTCTGTCACTGCGGCAAAGGAATGTATAATTGCTTGTGCGTGTGCCTCTGACGGCATTGGGCGACTGCAGTTGTGTTAAGTTCTCTTGCTTCCCCGGCAGTCCAGAGCCTGGATGCCTGCGGATCATACTCTTGTGTCCCGTTGGCTGGTTTGGGTGGGGTCCCCCAGGGCTGCAGTCGACCAATAACCAAAAGAAATAGTAATGGTGATGATGATGATGATGATGATGATGATGATGATGATGTTAATGATGTAAATGATGTTAATGATGTTGGTGGTGATGGAAATGATGGAGACGATGCTGCTGATGATGATGATGGTGTTGATGATGGTGATGATGGTAATGCTGATGAATGTGATGATGATGATGTTGACGATGATGATGATGATGATGATGATGATGATGATGATGGTGATGATGGTGATGATGGTGATGATGATGAGGATGATCATGATGATGCTGAGGATGATGAGTATGATGATGACGATGATGATGACGATGATGATGAGGAGGAGGATGATGCTAATGATGTTGATAGTGATGCTGATGATGCTGCTGATGCTGATGATGACGATGGCCAGGATCAGGATCGAGGAGGAGGAGGATTCGGGAGACAATCGAGGGGGAGGAGGTTCAAGGATCGAGGAGGAGGAGGAGCAGGGAGAGAATCGAGGGTAGAGGATCGAGGAGGGGTCGAGGAGAAGGATCGAGGATCGACGAGAAGGATCGAGAAGGAGGAATAAGATCGAGGATCGACGACGAGGAGGAGGAGATAGGAGGATTGAGGATCGAGTGTTCGGGGGGAGGGGTCGAGGAGGAAGATCGAGGATCGAGTAGGAGGAGAAGGGTCCAGGAGCAGGAGGAGGTTCGAGAGGGAGGAGGATCGAGGATTGAACACATCGCGGAGGACGTGGATAAAGATCGAATCGAGGAGGAGCCATCATCGATTCGTTATCCCTAAGCTCATCGTAGCTACTCGGGTGCTTTGCTGGGATCATCGTTGATGGGTAGTTCGGCTGGGATCCACCTGGATGTGACCCTTCTCGGTCGTCTAGAGGGTAGCGTGCGGGCAGAAGGATAGGAGTACGATGAAGGGCAGCCTTGATCCGAGGTTAGGGGGAAGAGCAGGAGGTGGAGGATCTACTCAGGTTGTGGAGAATGGTGAGGAGGTGGAGCTGCCCTAACCCCTGACCCCCAGAGAGGACGAGAAGAGATGGAGGCTGAAGAACAGGCGGCCACAATAGCATCCAACTCTCGATAAACCAGCTACATCAAATGTGCACCAAGCTTCTGCCGTGACGGCGTCGTCTCTGGTTTCTGACGCTGCGTGGCCCTGTCAGCCTCGACCTCGACAGTTTCTTGTCTCCGGAGTCCCAAAAGTCTCTTGTTCGCCTTCGTTTGTATGGCGCAGTGGGCTGCTTTCTGTGGGCCATGGGGCCATAAAAAACCAGAGGCCGGCGCCATCGCCGCGTCGAAGCCGCGGGAGCCTGCCGCATCCAGCTTTCTGGGGGTACTTTCCACTATGGCGCCCGATACAATCACAATGAACAAGAATGATGGACTTCAAGAGTGCAAAACCCTCGGAACGGCGCGAAAGCAACGAAAAAGCGCGCCCACACGTGCGACGGATTGCCAGAACCGAAGGCTGCAAGGTGCCCTTGCGATCAGGGCCCGTCCTTACCGATAATGTAAATTGTAGTTGTTTCAGCTGCCCAGACCTGTTCGCCACCGTGCACGCGCTGGTGACTGCGTCTTCGCCAGCGGCGCCGACGACCAGCGCCAGGGCGACGACGGCAGACATGAAGATGCGCGCCATGGGCGGAGAGAAGCGGAAACTCTCCGAGGATGGGTACCGTGGTCGTCTGACTAACCTGACGCCCAGGCGTCGCAGAGAGACCACGACGGGCGTTTAACGCCCCTTTTCGGGACCTGGGGCCCTAACGGGCACCAGGCAGGCTTCTTCCACGGCGTCGATTTTTTTCCGAGACGTAAGGGCCAGGAGTCACAGGAGCAACCAAGCACCCCCCCACACATGCAAACAGGAACAGCAAATAGTCGGTTGCTCCTTGCCCGTCTTGACTCCTCTTGAGGCGTATGGGTAGGAAAGAGGACAGGTGACACCACCACAGGCGCGGGCGAGGAGCCAGGCAGGGACCTCTTGAGTGTTGTTGTGCCCCTGTGTTTGGGCGTCCCGCTCTAGAGACATCCAATCTCCGGCTCGAGGAGGTATCGTGGACCCCCTCGCTGGAGGTGGGCGCTGGTTGTGGTGGTGTCGACACTCCTCCCCCCCGATGTGGAAGTCCGTGTGGCTGGTTCTTGGCCCCCACTGGCCCTCAGGATGGCCGCCAGCCGACCACGAGATCAACTGCGCCCCAACTCTAGCTGCCGCGACACCGCGAATGAGCCACTCGCCTTCCTTGCCAGAGCAGCGGCGGCCAACGCGAGGGAGGCTGGAGGCCGCGGGGGACCGGGTACCAGGGCGAGGGGCGAGAGCAGCAATGACCGCTCAGACTAGCGAGGCGCCCGCCTTCGACCACATCTGGGGCGTCAGCGCACCGCCAGGCGCTTCTCGCCCTGACTCGTCTGTTGACGGCCCTGGGCCCGAGCCTGGCCTCATAGAGGCCCGGGCCGAAGAAGAACCAGCCGTCTCGTGTCTTTGGGGCCGCTGGCGGCCTGGGGAGGTCGAGGCTCTCTCCTCCTCCGCGAGTGCCTCCTGACCGCCTGGACTATCCTGACCAATTCGAGTCGGCACTCCTGCATGTCCGATCCCTCCCTTCACGAATTATCCTGCTCATCCTTACCTCCTGTGGTCCAGATCTTCCTCCTCCTCGTCCTCCTCCTCGTCCTCCTCCTCCAACCCCTCCTCCTCCAACTCCTCCTCCTCCTGCTGCTCCTCCTCCTACAAAGTATATACAAAAAGTTCAATGCCGACGCCGGTGGCATTTGCAACGCTGTGCTCGACATCGCTGCGGCAGGCCGTGCCCCGAGAGAGCACGAGACGATTGTTGATCTCAACTGGGAGCCTTTTGTAGCTCCTGCCCCAAAGTGATACCGCTCTGCACACCTCCACTGGTTCTCCCCCCCCGCTTGTGGCGTCGCCCTCCCGCCGCCGTTTGGCCGTCTAGTGTGCCAGAACCCGCTGTTTCTCCGCCGTCCCCCCATCCCCTGCCGGCGTTTGCCTGCACCGCTGTACCCGCGCCTGTCTGCGCACATGCTGTTTGTATTCACGCGAACTTTATTGATCAAGGCTCGTCCTTCGCACATTATTCGCTCACGCACCGTTGATTTTCTTGCATCCCTCGCCTGGGGAAGTCAGGTACAGGGCAACGCGCAGTTACACATTCAAGTAATATGTATCTTTTGTCATGTCCCACACGCTTTCAGCTTCTCCTCTTGCGACGAAGACAAACCAGAGGATGTATTAACTTCATGTGGCAGTGATGTTACGCGGGGGGAAATCCTCCTCCTCCTCCTCCTCCTCCTCCTCATGCTCCTCCTCTTCCTTATTAGGATTATGATTCTCGATCTCGCCATCGCTCCAGATGCTCCCCCGCCTCCTCTTCCTCCTCCTCCCCTCCTCCGTACTCCTTCTCCTCCTCCTCCTTCTCCGCCTCGTCCTTCCTGCTCCCCTTCTTGCTCCCAATGCTTTTCCTCAAAAAGAATCCTCTCGCTCGCACCCCAAGACGTGTCAATAAGGCGGGCTGGGCACTTCGCCTGAGACTTCTTCACCACTAGTGATTCTGAAGCTATGGAAGGCGGGCCCTTTTCAAAATGCAACTCTCGCATTCGCGCCGCGCACACTCGTCATCACAGTTTGCAAGAGTTTCACGGGTGGAGGGCGGGGCGTTTTCAATGTGTGGCTCTGACCTTAGCGTCGCGCACATCTTGTTGGACAAGTTTGCAATATTTCTGCGGCTGGAGGGCGGGACGCTTTCAAAAAAGTGGCTCTCGCCTGAGCGCCGCGCACATCCGTGTGAATACACACATATATATACATATATATATATATATATATATATATATATATATATATATATCAGATATTCACGGGTGGAGGGCGGGCCATTTTCAAAATGTGGCTCCGCGTCGGGCACACTCGCTGTAAAAGCGTGCAATAATTTCACGGATGGAAGGCGGGCCGTTGTTTTAATGTGGGTCTCGCCCCAACGCCGTGCTTGTTCGTTTTAAGAATTCGCCAGAAAATCTGGGATGGAAGGCGGATCTTTTTCAACATGTGGCTCTCGTCTTAGCGCCGGGCACCTTCGTTGCAAACGTTTGTACGAGCTTCACGGGGAGTGGAGGGCGGATCATCTTCAAATGTTGGTTCCAGCCCCAACGCTACGCACATCCGTTCTACATAAGCGTTTGCAACAGATTCACGGATGGAGGGCGGGCCGTCTACAGAACAAGGCTCTAACCTTGGCGCTGCGCACATCCGTTAGAAAAGTGTGCAAGAGCTCCACGGGTGGAGGGCGGGTCGTTTTCAAAATGTGGCTCTCGCCCCGGCGTCGCGCAAATTTCTCTCAAAGTTTGCAACAGCGTCGCGGATGGAAGGCGGGTCGTTTTCAAAATGGGGCTCTCGCTCCAACGCCGCGCAGATTCGTCCAACAACAATTACAAAAGCTTCCCGGATGGAGGGCGGGCCGTATTCAAAACGTGGCTCTCGCCGCAGCGCTGCGCACATTCTCGTGATAGATAATCTGGGCAAAGGACCCAACCATCTGCGGGTGAGACTACCGCAAAGCAGGTGGGACGAAGGAGGGGAAGGTCCCAATAGGGAACCCGAACGCGTGAGGGTCGTGCCGAAATCGGATCGGGGCCGTCATACGGACCCTGCCGCTGGGGCCTTCGGTGGAGCTCCCTACGGGGCCACGAAGCGTGCGAGGGTTGTGCCGGCATGGGTACGGGGCCGCCATGCGGACCCTGCCGCTGTGGTCTTCGGTGGAGCTCCCTATGGGGCCAGGGAACGTCTGAGGGGTTTGCCGAAGTAGGTGCGGAGCCGCCATGCGGACCCTGCCGCTGGGGCCTCCGTTGGAGCTCCCTGTGTGGCCACGAAGCGTGTGGAGGGACTCCGAAATTCGTGCGGGGCCGCCATGTGGACCCTGCCGCTGAGGCCTTCGGGGGCCATGAAACGTGTGAAGGGTGTGCCGAAATAGGCGCGGGGCCGCCATGCGGACTCTGCCGCTGAGGCCTTCCATGGAATTCCTTCTGGGGCCACGAAGCGTGTGAGGGGAGCGCCAACATGGGTCAGGGGCCGCCATGCGGACCCTGGCGCTGGGGCCTTGGGCCACGAAACGCATGAGGAGTGTGCTGAAATTGGTGCAGGGCCGAAAAGAGGACCATACAGCTGGGTCCCTCAGTGGGACTCCACACGGGGTCACGAAACGTGCAATAGGTGTGCCGACATAGGACACGGGGGTGGGAGAAGGGGGGGAGCAGGATGAGAAGAGGAGAACGCGCGGTGCTGTCTCTTCAGAACGAGGGCCCAACACCACAGAATGGTTGGGACACCTGGCAAGAGATTCATAGATGGAGAGCGGGTCGTTTTCTGCCGCCCCAGCGCCGCACACATTCGTTGCCAAAATGTGCTAGAACTTTACAGATTGAAGGCGGGTCGTTTTCAAAATGTGGCTCTCGCCCCAACGCTGCGCACGTTCGTCTTCAGAGTTTTCAATAGTTTCCGGGATGAAAGGCGAATCCTGTTCAACATGTGGCTATCGCCTTAGCGCCACGTACCTTACTTGCAAACGTTTGCGAGCATTTCACGGATGGAGGCCATAATCATTTCAAATGTGGCTCCCGCCAGCGCTGCGTACTTTCGTTGTACGTAAACTTTCCCCAAGGATTCATGAATGGAGGGCGGGCCGTTTTCAAAATACTATTCTCGCCTCAACACCTCGTATGTCCATCTGAAAAGTTTGCGACACATCACGGGAGTCTTATGGCTGACGTGCCAGCGATGGTGATCCAACACGTTTTCAGGGAGCACAATCACGTTGATTCGCAACGTTGGAATTCCAAGAATGGCCTTCTGGCACGATGCAAGATCGTTAAGGCGCAGCCGTAAAGTCGACTCGCAACCATAAGGGGGTGGTGCTTCTGGCACGTTGCGGATTCTCAGACCGTTGTCTTCCAACGGGGCATTTCCAACAATGGAAATACAATCTCGTAGGGACCTGTGAAGAGTGAACTTGGAGGGAAGGTTTATTGCAACCCTCCGACGTCCCCGTCCTCCCTTCTCCTCATCCCCCCACCTCCTCTTCCTCCACCCTTCGTCTTCGTCCTCGTCTCCGTCAGCGTCCCGCCCCTCCCCTCTTCCCTCCTCTCACCTCCCTGTCCTCTTCCTCCTCCTCCTCCTCCTCTTGCTCCTCCTCTCACCTCCCTCCTCCTCCTCCCCTCCTCACACCTTCCTCCTCCTCCTCCTTCTCCTCCTCCTCCTCCTCCTCCTCCTCCTCCTCCTCCTCTCACCTCCCTCCTCCTCCTCCTCATCCTCCTCGTGATCGCTTTGCTCCGCCTCCTCCGCCTGCTTCTGTCTCTGCTTGGCGTGGCCGCGCCATTCCCTTGTGTTCCTTCCCCGAAGGCATTTGCACGTGTTCCTTCGCCGAAGGCAAGCTTTGCATGTATTTGTCTTATCGTGTCCTGTGCAGGACCCGCTCTCCAGTCGTGCGGGATTTGTCTGTCTGTCTGTGTGGCCGCCCCGCCCCGCGCGCGCTCACGTGGCGCGCGTGGCTTTTCCTCAGAAACCTTGACCGCCGCCAGCGCCGCCGTGGCCGCCGAAGGCGGCCGCCGGGCCGCCGCCTGGATATTTTCGTGGGGGCCCAGGGGCGTGGAAGGGGGATGATGATGATGATGATGATGGTGATGATGATGGTGGTGGTGGTGGTGATGATGATAATGATGAGGACAGGTGAAGGGGGGAGAGGGGGCTGCGGGAAGGGATGGGAAAGGGGCGGTCGGGATGGGGGGAGGGGGTGGTCGGGAGGGGGGATGTCCTCCTCCTCCATCCCTTTTTCTTCCACATACTTTGTCCGTGTTTCACCATCAAACGTGTAGGCAAGGCGTACCGGGCGTTTCGAATGAGACGTCCTCACCACTAATCATCCAGAAACTTAGAATTTGCAACAGCTTCAAGGATGGAGGTAGGGGTCGAGTCGATCTCGCTTTAGCGCCGCGCGCATTGGTCTTACAAATTTGCAGCCGCCTCGAATATGGAGACGGTGGCTTTGAACACGTCGTTCTCGCCTAAGCGCCGCGCGGTTTCGTCTCAAAGGCTTTTAGCCGATTCAAGGATGGAGGGGGGCCGTTTTCAAAATGTTATACGGGTTGTGGGCGTGTTCTTTTCAAAGTGGGGCTTTCGCTTGAGACGCTTTTAAGTTAAAGGTCAGATGCTTGCACAGATGCAGCAGCTGCGCGGCTGATGGGCGTTTCCTTTTCAAACTCAGGCGTTCTCGGTCAGAAGCTTGAGCAGATGCAACAGCTGCACGAATAGAGGGCGGTTCCTCTTCATCATGGCGTCTTCGCTTGCACGTTCCTTGCCGCTCATGGCAGTAACCGGAAGCCTGTGCGCGGGTTGCACAGATGTTGGCGGTTCTTTTTCAAAACGGGGATCTGGCTGGACACCTCTTCGCGCTCCTGATTGCTAGCAGGAAAGATGCAAGCCAGTTCGCTCCTTTTCCAAAAGGGGCTCGCGCCTGAATGGCATGCCAGGAGGTGCTGGTCGTTCAAAGGGGCGCTTCTTACTTGTGGGGACATGTGAGGCGGGGACTTGGGATGTGAGGGTGTATTGCAGCATCGTTGGTGCATCTTGGGTTTACACTGGTCCTCCTCCTCCCCATCTCTTCTCGCCAAGAAAGGAAACAACGGAAGGACTCTGAAAGGAACCAACTCTGGACACCCCAGCTGCCCCCAACACCAGCTTTCTATCCTGAATATTTGCTCAATGGCCCTGCAAAAAGGGGGGGAAGTGCCCTGGAGGCCAGAGACGGGTAAAAGCCTCAGGACCTATTTCCCTCAGACGCCCCTTGCCTCACGGCGATTTCAAGAACCCCCCAGTGGCCTCTTGAGCTCCTCGGGGGGGCCGCTATCGAGGTCCTGGGCGGCACCCGGAAGCCTCCAGATGCCCAAACACAGCCTGAAAAGTCATCCCCCTCTTCCTCCATTCCTTTTTCATCCCATGCAACCCCCCCCCCCCTCGGAATGGGGCCTGGCGCCGCGCCCCAAGAGTAGCCGCCGAACGAGCCCGCCTCTTTGTATGCTGTCTCAGGAGACTCCGGCGATTGGGGCACATGAGAAGGAGGAGGAAGAAGGCAGGGGAGGGGAGGGAAAGGAGGCTTCCGACTTCAAGCTCAGCGGATGTGTGCCCAAACAGCCGCGCCACGCGGCAACACGCTGTAGTGATATGGCCTTCATGGTTAGGCAAAATATTCATGCATTACCCTCAAAGAGTGAAGTATGCGTTCGCCAATACGCTTTGCTGCAAGGTGTGACCTGCCAATCGCCGTGCTGGGAAGGATTTGTCAAATCGGTGCTGCTCCCTTCAGACGCGGATCTTGTGTCTGTGCATCTGGGTACTCCTGTTCTGCACGGTCCTTGCCCAGATCCATGTGTAATTTCTGTGCTGCAGAACTCTATGTGGGATTCGATCTCGGTCGTGATCGCCCAAGCGTGCAACATGCCCAGCCCATTGGAATACGCGTTCGAAGCGCACTCCGTCTCAATCCTGGACATTATGCTCTTCCTTCGTTGCCTGGATTTTCTGCCCGATCCGTTCATCGATAACTTCGACCGTCGTGTCCACCGCACGTTTCCGCAACAATATCATGTTCCTTACTTTCCTGTACGTTGTCCGCTGTAACCCACGCAACGTGGCGGCCTGGTGGCCAGTCAGGCTCAAGCTGGCACTGCACCAAACGAGCAACGTGGACACAAGAGAACCTATAAGCTTCAAGCGCGCCCGAATCGGCGCACTCGGGCAACTGAGTGAATAGCACCTTGAACCGCTCGTCCCTGGCAACTCTCCGCAGCCTCGCGCCTTGCGCGCTCACCTCCCCGTGTACTTGGTCACACTGCGTCGGACACGACTGATTGCACGGCCCAGCCGGCCTCGGCGAGGATGGCCAAGAGGTGTCTCCTCTAATCGTTTGGGGTTAGCTGGGGAGAGCCAGAGCATACCAACAAACAAACCAACGCCACGCGAGACCCGCTGTCCTGGGCAGTTTGCTCGGCCCCTGCTCCCAGCTTATCCAGAAAGGGGATGGGGGAGCTTGGCGAAGCGTCGAGTGGAAACGAATGAGCGGTTGTGGGATATAATCGGCGGGATGGTTGAGAAATGCGGCGAGGTGCTGAATCTGCTTGGACCGCACATTGACTAGGTAGAGTAATCGCAGGAGGACCTGGGCCAGTGCACCACGATTTTGGAAGAGCAACTGGGGGGCTTGGAAGAGTCCTTGTCCACGTCGTCCCCCGATAGATTCATCCCAACGCGGCGTGGTTGAACTGGGCGTTTTTCACGACCAGCGCCAGACAGAACGCAATCTCGAGTTGCCGAGGCAACCCCTGGACCGATCATCCAGAACAAGACCTTCGAATTAAATTGGCAAGAAAGTAATACCACAACAAAGTCGTTGTACTTTCATTGAGGTCGCGGGCATTTGGAGGACATCGCCGAACTACCCGACAACTTCGAAGAACAGGCGATGTTCGACAAATCCAGCAAGGCCATGGCCTGGCTTCGAGCCGCGTTGCTTTTGAAAACCCGACTCATCCCAAAAGTGCGCAACGAGACGGATGAACACGAACCGCCACAACCGCACGATGTCGTTATGCTCAGTGATGGCGGTGCTTAGGTTGACTGCTCCTCTCGTGCGGACTATCGGTGCGCATGCTTCGAGGGTCCCCGGGGGCTGTTGACATCCCCTGGTGGTCGGCGGTTGTTGCCTCGAGCCTCCATCGCGCTCTGTTTCAGCCCTTGAATCTGCGCTCCATGACTCGAAATCCGGGATTCGCGCGAATTCTTTCTAATTGCCCTCTGGTCCTGGCCGCCGCTGCTGCCCTGTTCGCCGTCGCCGCGCTGACCGCCGCCAATCTCCATGCTCCGTCGCTCTCTCGCTATTGTCGTGCTGCTTTGCGGTCTCTCTGCTGATCCGCGTTCCTCATCTCTACACTCGAACGCAACATGGGCGGCTTCCTGGGGCTCCGCCCGCCACAAGAAACATTGGAAAAAGGAGGAGAAGGACGAGGAGGAGACGAACGCAGAGGAATAGTCCCCTCATCGATGCCGAAGAATCTGATGCGGTCGAGGGCAGTACGGCGAGAAGGAGGAGGTGGGAGGATGGGGAGGGGAGGAGGAAGAGCAACTTGCCACTGTTCGCTGGAACCCGCTGAGACGGCATAACGGCAAGGGTCCAAGAAACGGGAGCACTGCCAACCAGGAGCCACGGGCGTTCCCAGTGCACGCATGTACCAGGCCGCTGGAAACACATGTGGCAAGGTTCGCACGTGGAACGTGTGGAGGCCACACGCCGGATGCACGCGCGGAGGGCGTGTTTACCACGCCATTCGTGGGCGCCGGAAATCTTTGCGGCCATGCGGCCACGCGCGTATCCAGCCCTCGCCCAGGCTGGCCACGTCAGATGTATCCACGGAGGCCCCTCCCATATGGGGTCCGAGTGAGGACGGTCGGAAATCGCGCTGCATCGCCAATGCATAGCCAATGCGTTGGCGACGTCGGCGGTGCATCCCCGAGGCCTGGAACGACCCCCGCCTCCCGGTGCGATGCCCCCGCCCCCGCCCTGAAAGCCGAGGCCTGCGCGTTCCTCCGGCTGTCCCAGCCGGACGGCAGCGCGGCGGGGCCAGGCCCGCAGCCGAGGGGGCCGGCCGCCGCTGCGGCCGGGCCCGGGCCCGGCTGCTTGGGAAGGGCGCCTGGGATCTCACTTCACCCCCTATCCTTCCCCATTCTCCCTCCTCCCTTCCCATTCCCCCACCCCCCTCTCTTACTTCCTCCTCCCCTCTTCTGCTGCTCCCCTCCTCCCATCTCCGCCCTCTCAGTCCATGTGACTCCTCCCTGTCGGAACTGCATTTTGGCTCGATGAGGGGGTTCTCAGGCGGTTGTCGTCCAACGGGGCACTTACCACGATGAAAACCAGCCGACCCTGTCGGCGTGTGTGACAGGCTTTTGAGTTTGAGTCGTCATCGTCGCCGCTCCCCCTCAAGCGTTCCAACCAGAGGGAAATTGAGCAACTTCGCAATTGAATCGAAGGAGATCCCCGTCCCTTTGATCCCTCCCAGGGGGGGGTCCCCAGGGGGGGGGGTCCCAGGGGGGTATGGGTGGGGTGGGGTGGGGTTCGGGGAGGTGGGTGGAGGGCCCAGAGGGTTATGACCCCCCGAAGGGGGGGCACCCCTCCCTGGGAGATCTTTCGGCTCCAGAACGTGAGCGTCACTGTCGTCGTCATCGCCGCCGTCGTCGTCGTCGTCGTCGTCGTCGTCGTCGTCGTCGTCATTGTCGTCGTCGTCGTCGTCGTTGTCGTCGTCGTCGTCGTCGTCGTCGTCTCGCTTCACGGTCGGCGGCACCGCCCGCAAGGCCTTCGCAATACGTTAAGTTCTAATAGGGACAAATGACAAGGGGCCTTGGGGGGAGAGGGTTTATTCTCCCCATCCTACCTTCTCATTCCCCCTGCTCCTCCACAATCCTCCTCGTTCTCTTCTATGTTCCTTCCTCCTTCTCCTCCTCCTTCTCCTCTGTTCTTCCACCCTTTTCACTCTTCCTCCTCCTCCTCCTCCTCCTCCATCTCTTCCAACTCCTGCTTATCGTCCTCCTTCTCTTGAATGTTCCTCCTTCTTACTCATACCTTATACTTCCTCTTTCTTCCACCTTCTACCTTTCCTTCCCCTCGTCATCCTCCCCATCTCACCTCCTCCTGCTTATCATTAATATTAGTATCAGTATTACTCTTCTTATTATTATTCGTATTCCTCTTCCTCCTCCTTGTTTCTCATCCTTCCTTCACCCCGTCCCTTTTCCGACTGCCCCCCTCCCGCCCTCCCCCGCCCGAACATGGAGTTCGGTGGTTTTCAACGGTTTCTGGGAAGTACCAGAAGTTCGCACAAATGTTCTAAAATCTGTTCGGAGGTAGAACCCGTTGTTTGCTATTCGCGATAACGCCCGTGACCGGCCCCGCCCCCTCGCTCCCCCGCCCCCTGGACACGTGACGATTCGCGCCGGCGCCATCTGGGAATTAGCCATTCCTATCCAAAACGGCGCCGGCGCGAATCGCAACGTGACTGGCCCCCCCTTCCCCCGCCTTCCCTTGCCCCCCCACCCCCCCCAGTGACGCCCAGATCGCCAGGGGAGCAAAGACGGGCTAGTGTTCGGTAGTTTCTCTGAAGCTCTCGATGTGCTTCTGTGTTAATTGGAACATGTTCCACGCTTACAAAGATTGTTGGAGATCTGCTGATGGTTTCAGGATGTTGTGATTCTAGATTATCGGATGTTGCGACCTGCGTTCGCAGGTCTTCGGAGGCCGCATCCGACGATGTTCAAAGCCCTCAATGTGTCTAGAGTTGCCTTGATGTTGTCGGTGGTTTTCGGAAGCGTTAGGAGGCTGTCAAATGTGATTTCCCATGTTCCCCAAACAACGCTTGCACTTTGGAATTCTTACTTGCTTCCAAAGACACTGGGCCTGTGTGGAGGTCTGGCGGCTATGTTATCGCGGTCGCCGCCTGTCGTCTGCGCCTGTGTGGCGGTCTGGCGGCTATGTTGTCGCTGTCGCCGCCCCGTCGCCGCTTTGTCGCCGCCTGTCGCCTGGGCCCGTGTGGCGGTCCGGCGGTTATGTTGTCACCGTCGCCACCCCGTCGGCGCCTCTTCACCGCCCGTCGTCTGGGCCTGTGTGGCGGTTTGGCACCTATGTTGTCGCTGTCGCCAACCCGTCGCCGCTCGTCGTTTGGGCCTGGCTGGCGGTCTGGATGCTATTGTGGCCGTCGCCGCCCCGTCCAGTCGCCGCCGCTTCGTTGCACATCGTGCATATAAATGTATATATAGCGTGCATGTGTATGAAGATGTGTTATATCTCATTGTCCCATCTAAAACAATGATAGAATCCCCCCGGGAATTGAAGTCCTCCCTCTTCGTATTGCACTGTACGTACGATTCTGCCCCATCTTGCATCCTCAATCTGAACTCGCATCATCCCAGCTAAACCGGCATCCCCCCCTTCATCCTCTGCAAAACAGAATATGCGCACACCCGTTTATCACAAACCATAATTTGTCCAAAACCATGTTTGCAAACACTGGGACGAAACGCGCACGCGAGCGGCGTCGCGCGCGCATGCCTAAATCCTCGAAACATCCTAAGTTGCGCAATGGTTTGAAAGCCGAGTGTCTCCATACCATATGGAAACACAGAGTTTCCGAACGAGGACTTGCATCAACAGAAACAGTTTGCGCTCGGGCTCCTGCGAAGTCTTAAGACAATGGTCGGTTGTTCAACATTGTCATAGCATGCTACCAAGCGTGTCTTTCGCGCGCGCGCACGTCGAAATCGCTCGAACGCCCTTTACGCCCGCGCTGTCGCAAGAGTCCCCTGCAAAAAAAAGGAGCGAACTTCGCACGCGCGCGTCGTCGCGCGCGCGTGCGGAAATCCTTCAAAAACCTCGACTGTCGTAGGGAATTCGAAATTCCCCCCCCCAAAAAAAAAACACATGGTTTTGCAAAACCAGTGTCCAAACATGCCTGCGTTCGCGTTCCTGCGAGTTTTTCGGGCAACCGTGCGTTTCATCAAATTCAGCCAAACGGGCCTCTCGCGCCGCATGTCGAAATCATTCGGACACCTTTGCTCGCGTGTTTTTTTCGTGGGGGGGGGGGGGCACGATCCGTGTCGAATGATACCCTACGGGCCACTCTTGCGCGTCGGCCGCGCGCGCATGTCGAGGTCCTTCCAAAACCTTCATCACCGACGCGAGGACGCCGTCATCGTCGCCGGCGTGAGCAGCGTCGGGGCCGTCACTGCCCTTGCCGTAGCCTTTTTCACCATCGTCACCAGCATCGCTACCATCATTATCGCGTCTACCGTCGTCGACGTTGCCATGATACCGCGCCCGCCTAAGTGGCCGATTCGCACTGAAGTGCCCGCTGTGCATCACCCAGAGGTCAGCGCCACCGCGGCCTCGCTGGTCGCGCCAAACTAGCTGGCCGCTTCGCGCGCGAGCATGCGAGAGCTAGCGCGGCCGCGAAGATGCACCAGCCAACGCCAAGCACTCATAGCACTCATCGCAATCGTCGCCGCGTGAGCCTTGCAAACAAAATTGCGGGCGGGCGGGTGGGATGGCTGCGCGAGCAAAAGGGTTGACAACTCATTCCGGACAGAACTTGATTGCACCACATAGATTGTTCCACGTCGGCTCCACCACATCTACTTTCGTTTTAAAAAATCGTCCCCCTGATTTAACCGCCCCTCCTTTCGCATTGCAATTTAATGATGAATATGCCCCATCATCCGTTCTAAAAAAGAACTCGTATCATCCTGACCAAACCGTTAACGGTCACCCCCTCATCCTTCCGAACAAATAATGCGCGCGCATTCGATTATCATAAAACAATAATTTTCAAACATCCCCTGCCCCAGAAAAAACGACATGCACATGCGCGCGTCGTCGCCCGCGCATGCCGGAATACTTCAGCAAAAACAGCAGTTTTCGGAAGGTGGTCAAAATCGAGTGGCACGAAAAAATACAAAAACACATGGTTTAGCAGCAAGAACTCTTCAAAACTGAGAAACGTTTGCGTTAGCGTTTTTGCGAATTCTTAAAACAACCTCATGTGTTTCAGCATCTTGACAAAATGCTACCACATGGGCCCCTCGCGCACGCATCTTCAAATCGTTCGAACGCCCTTGCGCTTGCACCGTCGTCAAAATCCTTTGCGGTAGCAAACAACAAACAACAACACAAACAGGACGAAGTGCGCACGCGCGCGTCGTCCCGCGCGGATGCAGAAAACCTTCAAAAACCTGAGGTTCCGAAGGGAGCTCAGTTTCGAATGCACCGACAACGTATAAGAACACATGATTCTGCAATATCAGTGTTCGGAAAAAAATCGTGCTTGCGCTCCTGCGGTTTGTTTGTGAGAAGCCACAGGTTTGTCAACGTTCATGCAAATATGCAAAAAGGGCCTCTCGCGCCGCATGCCGAACAACAAAAAACGGGACGAAACGCACACGCGCGCGGCGTCGCGCGCGCATGCGGATATCCTTCATTCAAAATTTCAAAAGATACGCGAAGATTTCAAAATCGACTGTCCGGATACCAAATAAAACAACACCTTGATTCCCAGCGAGGATTTGCATCAACAGACAAGTTTGCGCTCGGGCCGTTGCGAATTCTTAAGACCAGCTGCCAGCTGTTCAACATATTCATACCATGCTATCAAGCGTGTCTCTCTCGCGCGCATGTCGAAATCGTTCGAACGCCTTTTGCGCTCGCGTTGTCACAAGAGTCCCTCGCCCCACAAAAAGGGGGCGCAGTGCACACGCGCGCGATGTCGCGCGCGTTCGGAAATTCTTCGAAAACCTCAGGTGTCGTAGGGGGTTCATTTTTCCGCCAAAAACACATGGTTTTGCAAAGCCAGTGTTCAAACATGCCTGCGCTCGCGATCATGCGAGTTCTTCTGACAACCATGGGTTTTCAAAATGTTCATCCGATTCAGTCAAGCGGGCATCTCGCGCCGCATGTTGAAATCATTCGAACACCCTTGCGCGCGTGCTGGGGGGGGGGGGCACGATCCGTGTCAAATAATACCATATACCATGCAGGCCACTCGCGCGTCGGCCGCGCGCGCATGTCGAAGTCCTTCCAAAACGTGCATTACCGACGCGAGGACGCCCTCATCGCCGCCGGCATGATCAACATCGGTGCCGTAACTGGCCGTGCCGTCGCCGTTGTCATCATCGTCACAAGCCTCGCTGCTACCATCATCGTTTCTATCTTTGTCGACGTTGCCATGATACCGCGCCCGCCTAAGTGGCCGACTCGCACTGAAGTGCCCGCTGTGAATTGCCAAGAGGTCAGCGCCACCGCGGCCGCGTCGGTCGCGCTAAACTAGCTGGCCGGCGCGCGCGCGAGCATGCGCGGGCTAGCGCGGCCGCAAAGATGCACCGGCTAACACCAAACACTCATCGCAATCGCCGCCGGATGCGTTTTGCAAAACAAGTTGCGGATGGAAGTATGGGACGATTGCGCGAGCAGTAGAGCTGACAACTGCGAGTTCCACAAGTGAGTTGCATCACGTGCGTTGCACTAATTAAATTGAGAAGCGCAAGTGGAGAAACATACTGCCCAACATAGGTTGCACAACCTACGTCGCACCACCTATACTGCCCCACGTAGGTTGCACAACCGATATTGTTATACATAGGTTGCACAACATAACGTGCACCACATAGGCTGCACAACGTAACCTGCACCACACTAGTTGCTCCACATGCACGACGTCGATTGCACAACCTAGAGTGCAATACGTATGCTGCGCCAGATATGTTGCTCCACATATTTGGCTAGCAACGCAGCTTTTGGGTCCACGCTGGCTAACAGTTTCCTGCAGTTACATGATGATAAAACAACAAGCGGGTGAACTGCCGAGAGCAGCGGAATGGCCCGAATCGGACTGACTCTGATGGAGGAGGAGCAGCAACAGCAGCAGCAGGACTTGTTGGAGCGCCAAAGGGGGTGGCACGAAGAAAGCGGCCTTCCAAGAACCCTCGCCCCGCCCTCCTGTGCGCGCCGCCAGTGGGCGCCTGGATTGGGGGACACCGAGGCGAACGACCACGTGTCCTCAGGGCCCCGTTCTGCATTCCAAGCATAGTCGCCGTACGCGCTGGCCATGGTGGCGCCCCGCTGCTCCCAGCCAAGGGGCAGCTCTGCGCCTCCGCCCTTTCGAATGTTCGCAGGAGTGCTCCTGGCGGAAGGTGTCCCCAGCTCCCAGGCCGTTTGTGGGCCTCCCGCGCCACCCTGGGCCTTGGGACACCTTCTGGCCGGGATCACTTCTGCCAACGACCCCGCGCCTTGGGAGCTGGGGGCAGGACCACGCCCGCCTCTGGCTCCAGCTCCGCGTCCTCCAGCAGCTTGGGGACGACAAGATCCTCCAGGCGTCCGGCGCCGTCGCCAAGAAGGGTGCACTCCAGGGCGCGCCCCTTTGGGCGGGCGCGCAGCAGGTGGGTGGCCCAGCCGCTCAGGCCGTCCAGGACCTGGGGGCGTCTTTTGGGCTGGCAGGACCGTTCACGGAGTTGTTCCAAAAAGTAGAAGTGCCCTCGGAACGTGTCAACGTCAGCAGCATATGATGGTGCTTTTCGTAAGCACGTTTCCCTGGATTGCTGATAGACCTGGCGAGTTTTAGTCCCAGGGGGCATGGGTGCAGTACACCACGGCGCACCCCGCCTCGGACTCTTCCCTCAGGAACGACAACACCGCCTCCCGCGAGGGCACGTCCAGGTCGGCCGTCACCTCGTCCACCAGCAGCAGCCTCGACGGCCGCAACAGCTTTAGGGCGATCTGCGCACGCCGCAGCATGCCGTCGGAGAGGGTGCCCAAAGGCTTGGCGGTGTCGACCCCCAAACTCTGCACCAGCCGCAGCATCCGGCCAGCAATCACCGCCATGTCGCCGCCAGCGCTAACCAGGTCTCGGACGTGGGCGTCGGCCAGTTCCCAGAATGTCATTGACCTTGCCGAGGACATCTCCGAAACCTGCTTCTTCCACTCCGTGCTCAGGAGGGCCACGATAGGGTCCAGCGCCTGGTGGTCGTGGAAGGCCCTGTGGCCCAGCACGCGGACCTTCGGGGAGCCGCCAGCTATGCGCCAACACTCGGGGCGCTCGAGGCCACAAGGATACGTGGCCGCCTCTGGACCTCCCCGTGACGGTGGCGCGGAGGAGGGAGACCGTCGTCATCGCCGCCGAGGCCGCCGCCACCAGCTGTCGCCCTCGAGAAAGAGCAGGGGGGAGGAAGTGAAGGGATGGGGGAGGGAACAAAGGAGGGGCGGGAGGAGAGGGATATGATGTATAATTAGGGGGTCGTCGTCGTCGTCGTCGTTGCGTCGTCGTCGTCGTCGCCCTCGGCCTCGTCCTCGTCATCGTTTCCGACCAGAGTCTGCTCAAGGCCGTTCAGAGCAAACCCCTCCTGCAGGGCCCATCCCGGCCAGTGCCTCGGGCCGCGAGCCCAGCAGCGGAGGCGAGGACCCCAAGAAGAAGAAGAAGAAGAGGTGGAAAAAGTGCGCCCAGAGGGCCCAGGAGCGAAGACGACGTCGCCCCCCCGAGCGGCCGGCGGCCCCGCGGGCGCCTGGCCGTTCGGCACCAGCCGGCGGCCCGCCAGCACGGCGAGGAGGCTGGACTTGCCCGCGCCGTTGAGGCCCACCAGCGCGGCGCGGCAGCCGAGCGGTAGCCGGAGGCTCTCCTCTGGACGAGGACGGCGAGGGTCGTTTTTCCCGACGACGGAGCACGGAGCGGCACCCGAGAGTAACATGTCGCGCATGTGCCAGCAGTGTGAAACCAATCACGATGCCACAATCGCGCAGCAGCGCCATCAACGAGGAGGAAGGGGCGAGGCAGGACAGAAAGCGAAGGAACAGGAGAGGAAGCAGAGGACGACGAGGTTTTGGGGAGTCTTCTGGCCTTTCTTGTGCCTCCAGAGGCATGCGAGCCCTCCAGAGACTTCTGAGGGTACCTCGAAGACCTCCCGGGACCTCTCGGAATCTAAGTCACCTCGACTAGGATTGACCTCTCAGATCGAGGCGTCACGACGAGACGATCGAGGCGGCCGCGGATATTCACCGCTTCGAGCCTTTCTGTAGGGAGTGCAATTCGGGCCACGACGCCTCAGAGAACGACCTGGACGAGAGGGCGGTCCCCAAGAAGGGGTCTGGAGGTCAAGGGGTCCCACATCACGAGCAATCGTTACACCGGATGCCCAGGGAGAACTGTGAGCCTACAGGGCCTCGAAGACCCTCTTCCACCTCCTCCCCGCTCCCTCCTCCCCCTCCTCCTCCTCCTCCCCCTCCTCCTTCTCTCCTCCTTCCTCCTCCTCTCATCCTCCTCCCTCCTCATCCTCCTCCTCCTCCTCCTCCTCTCCTCCTCCTCCTCCTCCCTCCTCCTCCTCCCTCCTCCTCCTCCTCCTCCTCCTCCTCCTCCTCCTCCTCCTCCGCCTGCTCCCATGACGACGGTGACGACGACGACGGCAGCCCAGCCGGCGGCGCGGGCGGCGAGCGCTGGCCGGCGGCCGCTCCAGCCGCAGCGACGTCGGGCACCAGTCGGCGTAAGCGAAGGCCACGCCCTCCGCGTCGACGGCCGGCATCGTCGCGTTCGCTGGCGGGGCCACCGCGGCAGGGGGCGGCGGCGGCGCGCCCAGGGGGGCGTCCTGTGCAGCGGGCACACGCTAACATGGATCAGGGACCCGTGGATCTGCCGCGTGGGCGCCAGACCCACGGATTGGCGCGAAACACGCGGCCGATGCTGCCTGGCTTGGCGGCGGAGCGCGCCGACTCTGCTCGGAAGCGGGACCCGTCCATCACCCACGCGCCCAGATCGATGCTTTCGATTCCTCGACGCAGCAGCGGGGCAAGGAAAGACGCCCTCGGGCCGTGTCCCCGCTCGAGCCCGCGGCGCCCCGCCCCGCCGGCTCTCGGGGGAGAGGCCGCCGGGCGCCCGCCGCACGCCGCACGCCGCTGCCGCCGCCGCAGGGCCGCACGCCCCGCGCCGTCGCAGCCCGTCGACGTCGCCGCACGCCGTCGTCGCCGCTGGCACGGGGCAGGAGGAGCGGACGGGCTCCCGGGTCCTCGCACGAGGCCGGGTGCGAGCGGCGGATCCGTCGGCGTCGTCGTCGTCCTGCTCCCCTTCGCCCCCGGAGAGGGGGGGGATGACGAAGAGGATCCCGCGTGCTCTTCCCGTGGGCAGATGGCCCTCGCCCTACACGCAAGATGTGGGCATGTGAAGAAGGGGGGCCATGGAGGGTGAGCAGGAGGCTCTGCTCTGCAGTAGCAATGTCGGCTGAGAACTTCGCCCTTCGCGCAGCGCGACACGCGACCATCTTCGCAGATTCGAGCCGCCCCGATGGAGTAGGGCAAATTCGGGGCCCCAGACCGCGAGAGCACGATCATCCCTGCGACCGTGCAGCGTGGCTGACCCAGCAGATCTTGGGCCGCCCCCCGACGTCCGGGTCCGCGGCCCTCGCCTCTGCGATCCAGCGGGACACGTGCGCGAACAGGCCGCCCGGCTGCCCCGGCGCGGGAGCGGCCTCGCAGCGCACCAGCGCCCCCGCGTGCAGCTGCAGCACGTGGGAGGCCCACGGATCCATGGAGTCGAAGACGTGCGTCACGTTCAGGACTGTGGCGCCGTCCTCGCTGGCAGAGCTCAGGGGCTGCGCACAGACATCCCCCACAGATAGCCCCAGCTGCCCCCAACGGGCCCACGGGTCGTCTGGGGTGGCCTCGGCAACCCAACTCTGGGGCGCGGAGCGGGGATGCCGCTGGAGACGGTTGACTACCCTGGGGCCATTTGTTGGGGTGACCCCGTCTCATGGCTTCTTTCGGGTGCCCCCGTGGCGAAAAAACACGCGAGAACCACGCGAGAACCGCGGGAGAACTACGCGAAACCACCCGCGAACCTCGCCCCCGAACCACGCCTCCGAACAAAACCCGAATCACAAAATCCCCTTTGGGGCGCCCACAGGAGAGTTTTTATAACCTAATCCGCCCGGGTCGGGCGCCGAATGGGATTTTTTTCGGTTCGGGCGTAATTCAGGCGTGGTTCGGGTCGTGGTTCGGTGCGTGGTTTGGGGCGTGGTTTGGGGCGTGGTCTGGGTCGTGGTTCGGGGCGTGGTTTTAGGCGTGGTTCTAGTGTGGTTCTGCACGTGGTTCTGGCGTGGTTCTGGCGTGGGTCTCGCGGGGTTCTCGCGCGGTTCTCGCGCAGTTCTCGCGTGGTTCTCGCGTGGTTCTCGCGTGGTTCTCGCGCGGTTCTCGCGCGGTTCTCGCGTGGTTTTTGAGTGGGTCTTTCTGGTTCAAGCCGCCCCAGAAGCCTCCCATAGAAAGGACTCATAAATCGAGCGGTGGCTGGCCCAAGCCCTGTGTGGAGGGCCTGCCCACATCGGCCGGGACTCATTTGGGCTTGCTTGCGCGCAGGGCCCCGTGAGCCAAGACATTGCGAACTATCTAGGACATTGCCAGATCCAGCAGGAGAAAACAAAGAAGGGAGGATGTCTCGACCCACGGCGGCGCCTTTCTCGGGTGAGTCATCGCTTGTCAAAACCCCTGTTTACGCCCCCCCCTCCCTTGTGGGGACCGTGCCGGTCCTCACGCAGGAAGTCCAGGACGGCGCGCCGCGCCAGGATGTCCAGGTCGGCGGTGGCTTCGTCCAGCAGCACCACCTCGCTGGGCTCTGCTAGCCTCCGCCCCAACTCCACTCTCCGGCGCTCGCCGTCGGACAGGCTGCCGAAGAAGCGCTCCAGGAGCCCGCCCAGGCCGAGCGCTTCGCGGAGCCGCCTGGCGCGCGGCGGAGCCGCCTCTCCGGTGTCCGCCAGGCCACCCACGATCTCTCGCACGCGGGAGGAGTCCATGCAGCCTGCTTGGATTCCCCGCCAGCCGCCCTGTACCAGCGACACCTGGCGGCCGGACCTGCCGCGGAAGGGGTCCTCGCCGCAGACCTTCAGCGCCCCCGCGGGGGCCATCTTGCCGCCGGAGAGCAGCTCCAGGAGCGTCGACTTCCCGGCGCCGTTGGGGCCGACCACCGCGCAGCGGGAGCCCCGCGGCAGCGAGAACGTCACTTGCTTCAGCACATCGGGCCCGCCAGGTAGCGGCGAGAAGGACAGCTGCTCGACCTGAACCTTTTGGCGACTCCGAGTCAGGGGCAACATCTGTGTAGGATCCATCGGGCCTTGCCAGCCTGTACCATCCTGCTGCTTGTTGCCTTTTCACCCCGCGACCGGCTCTTAGCAACAGCTCTGCGTTGCACATGATTTCTTGGAAGCTCCTTCATCAATGCTCGCGCCTCCATGACCCACCGGAGCCGATTGCACCGCCTGTATAACTGCAGGGCATTCTGGACCATCTATGCACAGGACACGACGCTAGGACAAGGAACGCAGCCCCTTTCGGGTCTCTTCGCCCAGATGCGAAGGGAACGCCAAGATAAGATCCATGGACGGACATGTAGAACATAGAGCCCGTTCGAAAACACTTACCCGCAAATACTTGTCTGAATTTATCTGGTCAGACATATTACAACATGAGTCATACGTGCACGTGTGTCGTCAACGCGCAAGTTTGTAAGAGGCCTCAGACTTCCAGTGGGTCCTCGGGGCCGCCGGAAATCAGATAATTCCGCGGGGCGTCTGCTGGCAAGCTGTTCTCTCACTGTGCATGCAAGCTGTACCTTCACGTCGCGGTGCATCTGGGCGCCTCCCCCCAGACTTCTGACATCGTGCTTTTTGGCGCGTGAGCCCCTGGAACTCTTGACCCGTCCCTGGAGAATTATTTCTCGTCGCGGGCCCATGGATGCCGAAGTCGTGTAACACGCCCAGCGCAACTCACTCGCGACACCTGGAGTAAGGTCATCGCGAAGCAGCTACGTGGAAGCAACTGCCACTGCCACTCCCCGTTGGCAAAACGCCCATTCGTGAAAGGGGCAATCCACGGGTGCGCGCGGCTCCGCATTCCAAGCGCACACTGGCGGTCAAGCTAATCGACGTCCAAAAGCAACCGACTGCATCCAGCAATAACTCGCGTCGATTGGCGAAACCGTCTTGGGATCGCACCGGCACGCTGCGAATGCCAACGTCGAGTGAACTGGTGCAGAATCCCACCAGTCCTTTAGGGCGTAGGTGGTCTGAGAGCATTCTCTTCCAACCCCCTTCTTCCCCTTCGGGGAGGAGTTTATCAACGTTCTGTATTGAGATACACCCCTCCCAACGGCGACTGGCAGCCAACCAGGAACAATGAGAACCCCATGATCTCACCCCCCAGCCATCCTTGTCAAAAAACAATGCAAACACACACTCTGCTTCCAAATTCGAAGCATTCGCAACCAACCCGATGCGGGCCACCCCCCCACCATCCCTGTCAAAAACAATACACAGTACAATTTGGGGTAAAGTCTGGAGTCATATTCGTGAGTCTCGCGAGCACTTTGTATTGTTTTGTGCACAGGGGCGGCAGGAGTGTCAGCATATTCCCTGCGTTGCGCGGGGCTACCATCCCTGACAAAAAATCATACAAGATGCACCTTGCAGCTAAATCTGCATCATGCGCGGCCACCCCGCGATCACAGTCAAGTGGTCTTGACCAGGATGGCGGGGGTGGTGGCGCGTGGCCTGCTGTGCGCAGGCCCACCAGACACAATGATGGGCATTGGTTTTCATCAAGGATGGCGGGGACCGACATGTTTCCCGATATGTGCTGTCACGTGTGCAGGCGCACCTGACGCACTCTGCACGTGCCCCGAACGCGGCGCTCCTGGCACAGCTGGAGTGTGCGGCACACCTGTGCACACCTGGCGCACTCGGAGCACGTGGCGCATCTGGCGCACCAGGCGTGCCTGGCGCGCTCGGGCCCCAGGGGTGCCTGGGGCGCGTGGCGCCCCCGGCACGCGTGGCGCACCTCGCCCAAGCGTCGCGCACCTGGGGTCGGCTTTGGTTCTCAGTAGCTGCCCATCCAAAGACGACCGCTGAACATGCTCAGGCTCGGGTATTACTTCTGCATAGGGAGGGCGGATGGGAGTGAGCTAGACGGCTTGCGGGCGGGCGGGTAGCTTGACACCTGTCCCTACCCCCTCCCCTCGACCTGGACAGGGGTTCGTGACGCGTTGGAGCGTCTAAGATGGCCCAAGACGGCTCCAAGAGGACCTCGGAGAGTCCAAGATGGCCTCCACGATGGTTCAATATGCCTCAAGGTGGCTCCCAATACGCTCCAAGAGGCCTCACGACCGCTCCAAGACGTGTCCAAGTAGCCCGAGAGCTCCCCTAGGAGGCCGCCACGAGGCCCAAATCCTGCCCAAACCTAAGGACAAGCAACGTCTTTGCGTTCTCGTCTTTTCGCGTCCGATGGCCTCCCGAGGCTGCAGCATGGCTCTAAGATGGCCCACGAGGGCTCCAAGAGGGGCCCAAGAAGCCTCCAAGACAGCCCCAAGAGCGCTCCAAGAGGGGTCCAAGAGGGGCCCAAGAGGCGATTCTGGGGGCTCCCGAGGGGGGGGGTCGTAATTTGGAGCTTCCTTCTTTTTATCGATCTCCTCCAAGATGGCCCCAAGAGCGCTCCAAAGGCGCCCAAGAGCGCCTCAAGAGGGCCTCAACAGGCGCCCGGGAGGCCCCAAGAGGCCTTCAAGAGGCTCCCAAGAGACCCCAAGAGGCCCCAAGAGACTCTCCGAGGCACCCCAGACGCTCCAAGAGACCCCCTGGGCCCGCCAAGCTGCCTCCCCAGACGCCCCAAGCGGACCAAAGCGTCCAAGCGACATCCGAGGAGACTCCGAGAGGCATTCAAGAGGCTTCTGGCTATTCTGTTCGCCCGTTTCCTCCTCCGCCTCCTCCTCCTCCGCCTCCTCCTCCTCCTCCTCATCATCATCATCATCATCATCATCATCATCATCATCATCATCTTCTTCTTCTTCTTCTTCCTTCTCCTCCTTCTTCTCCTCCTCCTCATCATCGTTCGCTTTTTCCCCCTCCTGCCCCTACTCAAAGTTCTTTTCCACGTTCCCCTCCTCCCTCCTCCTCCTCGCCCTGCTCCTCCTCCTGCTCCTCCTCCTCCTCCTCCTCCTCTTGCTCCTCCTCCGATTCCTCCTCCATCCCCCCTTCTTGGGGTACGACGTCTAAATTACCCACCCCTTGTTTCCCCTGCATTCTACTCCACATCCCTGATCAGGGCAACTCGTTTGGGCATCGCTTCTGGTTGGGCTGGTGGCGTTACGCGAATCGTCTAGACTTCCAGCCAACTTGACTGAGTGGGCGGTTCCCCGGGTGCCAGGCACGGCTTGACGCAGGCGCTGTCAGAGGTGGCAAATGGAGCACCGCTGGGCGGACGATGCCTCCCACTGACGGACAGGGCTCGCTGCGAAGACGCCAAGGAAGGATCCCGCTCACGAGCACGAAGAGAACGGACGGACGAGGAAATAGAGGAGGAGAAAAAAGGCGGACGAGGAGGTAGAAGGAGGAGGAGGAGGAGGACCATAGAGATGCAACATAAAAAGGAGGACGTGGAGGTTGGAGAAGAGGCAGGAAGCAGAATGGGGGCAGTTATATGATTAAGAAGAGGAGGGAGGAGGAGGAAGGTGGTGAAGGGAGAAGCGGGGAGAGGATGGTTTTACTGAGTTTGGGGGCGTTCAGGGAATGAGGAAAGGGTCTCTAGGGGGTCTGGAGTCTACTTCTCCTCCGACTACGACAACGCGCTCCTCTCCCTTCTCCGGTTCCCTTCTCCGCCTCCCTCACATATCATCCCACTCTCCTCTTTCGCCTGCCCCCATCCCTCTTACGTTCTCCATCTTGCCTACTCCCTCTTCCCTCCTTCCGCCTGCCGTCCCCCACATCCGTTCCCCCCCCTCTCTTCCTCCTTATGTTATTCCTCGCCTCTCCTCCTCTTCCTCCTATATATATATGTACGTATACCAGATTCCTTATCATCCTTCTCCTCTTCGTATCTCTCCGTCCTTCTTACTATTAGATCCTCTTCTAATCTCCTTATCCTTCTTCTCCGCCCCATCTTCCCTCATGCTCCTTCCCCGCATGTCCTCCCTGGTTCTGGCGCCCCTGTCACCGCAATCTGCTCATCCTCCGCCCCCGTCATCTCCATGGGCGCCGGCTGGCTAAGGTGGCCAGGGCCCGCCGCTGCGCGAACTAAGCGAAACAACACCCGCTTGAGCAAAAACGGATACAGCGGAGAAAGGGGACTACGAGAAGCCCAGCGCATATCACTTAAGCTCTGATGCGCTCTCCCCACTCCAACTCCCTGCTCGAAACGCTTCCCCCTCATGCAAACGTGTAGGTGTTCCCCGCCACTGCGGTTAGCTCCCGTTGACATGGTGGGGATCACTTGGACCTGCCTGCCACAGGCTCAGGACCTGCGAGGGCTAGACTTGAGATGCTTACATTGCTCTGCCAGAGGTCGGGGACCTGGGAACAATGGGCTGATCCGAATCATGTCGTCCTGCCACACCAAGTGGCCCTGGGAGGACTGGATTGAAGAGAACATTGCCAAACTTACTAAAGCGCGAGCCGGTGATCGTAATGACAATCGGCGACGCGTATACTCTGCGTTTCGTACTTCGCGCTGGGGGAGTCGCAACCCCCGCCGCAGGCAAACACCCCGCGGTCCCCGTGGCCGGGAGACGCCCCGCGGTCCCTGTGGCGGACCAACACCTCTCGCAGAAGGTATCGCACCCCTGGCCGACATCGGGAGCCTGACTCCTGTCGGGGGGGTGACCCCCCAGGCTGACCACCGAACGCAAAAACATAGACCCACGAGCACTGCGTTCGAGAAAGAACAGACACCCATCTTTGTTGCTTGCGCAACTGCTCCAAACTAATACCTGGCGCGTCGAGACATGAACATGAATTTGACAACGACCAGCCAGAACCCGCAAAATCGTTGGACAGAACAAGTTTCAGAGTTCTGCGTTGTGAAGAGATGTCACGCGGTAGCGCGTCTGTGACATGCATGATGGCCTTCTTGAAACAATTGGACTTGATCAGCGTCACGGTCATCAAACAAGCACCAGATTTTGAAGACTGGCCTCCCTCCCTACCTCCACTTGTTGGACGCGCCGCGAACGCGTCCCAAGGAAGCTCCTTGAAGGAACATTGCGATGTTCAAAGCGGCCGCTTGCATCCGTGCAACTGTTTGCGGACCCCACATGTTGCGGAGAACTGGGACGAGCCGCTCCACGTGGACGAGGACTCCTCCGCCCGACGACGGCGCTGGCGACGGCAACGACTGCGACGCCGTTCTCCTCGCCCGCCCGGCCCGTGCCTCCGCGACGGACGCCGAGGCAGGGCCGGGGTGGCAGAGCAGTCGAAGCACCTCGCTGGGCGGGCACAGCGAGTCGAGGGCGTCCTGCGGCCGCGGGCGGACCACCAGGGCCAACGGGGGAGAGGGGAAGAGAGGGAGGAGAAGAGGCAGGAAGGACGACAGGGAGGACAGGGGTCGTGATTGGGCATCGCTTGTTCGAGGCCGATTGGCTTGTGGGTGCCAACGCCCGCAAAGGACCAAGCACCAAACACTGGCGACTCTCCTGAAGCACGGTGGCGAACAAACCCCACCGTGAGATTGATGCGGGCATCCCCGGCATCGTCCCTGACGATTCGCGGATCGAGCTCCAAATCTGCTCGACAATCCTGGCCTCTGCTGCGCCTGACCCGTTGGGGAGGCCCACCGTGGAGAGCCTCTAGGAGAGGAAGGAAGAGGACGAGGACGAGGAGGAGGAAGAGGAGGGAAAAGAGGTGTTCCCTGGCGTTCAAGAATATCTGGGGGCATTGGTTGGGTCTTCAAGTGGAACAGATGGGAGAGGAGGAGGAGAAGGAGCAGGAGGAGAAGGAGAAGGAGGAACGCAACTGTCAAAAGAGGGAAACAAGAGAGCGAACGAGAAAACGACTTCTCCAGGGTCAAGAGAAATCAGCATTCCCTTCCAAAGTGCTTGCGGATGGGAGCCACAGGAGGCCGAAGCAGCGGCGGTCCTTGGAGGCGGCTGAGGCGCGGCCATCTCCCCTGACAGGCCCCGCGGCTCACACCCGCGTCGCCAAGCACATCAAAAAGTTACGTGCTCGGCAATAACGGGCGAGCTGCGCAACAGCTGGGCCAACCGAACACGTGCGGCGCACGAGAGCCTCTACCTACGAAGGCTGCCGCTGTGTCGGCAAAAACAAGGGCACGAGCAAGCCACGTCGTCGTAGACGACATCGGTTGAAACCAGCTGGGGCGGGGGAGGAGGGAGGAAGGAAGCGAAACATAATCGGGCCAGACCAGAACAAGAGACAAACGTGGGAGACAACCGACCGCCAGGCCCCCAGATAGCGAATCTGGCGAGCACGAGAGAGGCACTCCGTGCTGGGCCCAAGCCAGCTGCACTGGTCGCCGTCAAGCCCCAGGAAGAGACCGAAATACTGACCACACGATCCGTGGATGCAAGACTTGAGCGACAGCCCACGAAGATGCAAGTGAACCTCGAACTTGGCCCGAGAGGGGCAGTCAAGCATGACGACTTGCGCGCGCTCTTGACTTTCAGAAACAAGCCCGTCGCTTTGGGTACTACAAACGAGGACGTCACATACATCAGCGCCGCCGATCCCGACGTCGTCGGCGAAGGCCCAAGGAACGGCGAGGCACCTCGGGGGCCAGGGGCCGAGCGGCCTGGGGATCGGGTCGAAGGCCGGGGCACAAATATTGCTGCTAAGTGGGCAACCCTATTCAATGCCCCTGGCGGCCCCGAAACCAACCCCAACGCCCCCGCCAGAAGACACGTGAATCCAGATCCTATGATGCAAGACTTTCGCGGCTCGACGATGCCCTCGGGGAGCGCCCATCATCAGAAACACCCCATGGATGAGATCGTGGAGGAGGGCGCCGGGCGAACCGCGACGGGGCCCTCTCCTCGAGTTCCACAGTGTTACAAGCACCTTACCTTTTAAGAATAAAGCCCCGCTGCCAGTCCACCGCGCACACCGTGCAGATGCACCGAAGAATCCTGGAATCCTGTCGAGAACAATCGCAACCAGCTTGTTCGCAGGGTCGGAGAAGCAGATCGGACGAGTCGGGCCCTCAGCCCTGGAAGCGAAAAAAACGCCGCATCCTCGGGGATATACTTCGGCCATTCATGCAGCGATGGCGGCGTTGAAACCCGCCGGGGAATTCCCTTGGAACAATCTCTGGTACACCAACTATAAGGCCTAAAGACTGGGAGCGCCACTCTGGAATCAATACGATTAGGGCGGCCCGTCAGGGCCGGCGGCGGCGCCCTTGATCCCGGAAAAATATGCAACGAACGCTTCGAAGCACAACCCCCGCTCGATTTTCACCGGGGCCTTCAGGGCAACAGGGGCAAGCTCGAGGAGGACCCCAGGGTCGCGCCGTTGCTCTCTGCAAACCTTTTTGTAAACTTTCCCCCTCGAGGCAGCTTGACGATCGCGCGCCTGCTTCGGGCCAGCGATCTCGGCGCCCGTGGGGCAGCAGGCGTTGAAGGCGAACAGGCTGCGCGACGCCTTGCCGCCCTCGAACGAAGCGCGAGAAAGTAATTAAAGGCGCGAAAGAATCCGGCCGCGCAAAACCCAGCCGGACTATCTTAAATAATTAAAATATGAAAGCAATAATCATAATATTGATCGCCATACTACTAAAAGCTGGGCAGGGCGACGAGCAGCCGAGGAGGAGACAACTGGCGGGCGCGCTGGCCCTGGCCCCCGTCTGTGTGCTGGGGGGGAAGAAAGCCCCCTCCCGAGTCGAAGGCGGCGGCCGCGTCGCCAACCGCAGTCAGGGATATCAGTTGCCGCGCTGAAAAATCATGAAAGGGGCGCGCTGGGGCCCGAGGGGCCCGCGAGACCAGCGGGGGGGGCCCTGCGAAACCCCGAGGGGCGTCGAGCTGAGCGGCAATCGCAGAGCCGAGAAAGCACGGCCGCCTTACGAGGGGGAGGCAGGCTTTGATCAGCATCAAATTCACGAAGACGGGCCTCGTGCTGTTTCGTCTGGAACCCCTGGGAAACCGATGAAACCCAGGAGGGCCGGCTCAGTGCGTCGAGCGAGACTGCCCGACGCCGAATGCGCCCAGAGCATAAGAGGCCCGCGGGGCCCACCGAACCAGCCCATAGTCTTCGCGCCTCATCGGGCGGAGAAGGGCCATGCATCGCGCGATGCGCGCAGCGCCAGAGTCGGCCCCTTTCTCCTCGAGACGCCTCAGAATAAGCTCTGCCACGGACCGAAGGACGCCCCTGGAGACCTCGACGGGCTCGTCGGGGCCCTCAGGAGGGTCGGTGTCAGCGGAGACCTCCGCGCGAGCCTCGCGGCAGAGAGGGCGGCGACTCACCCTGCTGCGAACCTGGGGCGAGGGCGGCCGCGCAGTCGGCACAAAGCTCGCGCAAACAAGAACGCGGTCCGATAGACCCGAGAGATCGGCGGCAACGCCCATGGCAAAAAAAACGCCCCGCCGTGGCTGAGGCCCTAGATGCCCGCGGATCACATATTGACGAGGAGCCGATCCCGACGGGCCACAGACGCGAAGCGGTTGTCCTGAACTGCTCGATGGGCCAGGAGGTCCTGGGAGGTCTCAGGCAGGCCTTGAAGGGCTGAGCGCGCCCGGCCGCAAGCGAGCGCGCTGCGCGGACGACGCGCCCCGAGAGACGCCTGCCCCCCCCCCCCCCCCCCCCCCCCCCCCCCCCCTCGCAACGCTAGTTGCGCTCGCCTCCGACGGAACGCGAGGCCCCCGTCGGCGGCGGGAACAGATCGGAAACCCCGCGGCAGAAGACAAGCTGTTGATCGACGGCGCGATCTGGATCGCCGCGCAGATCGACGACTTGCGACGCGCCCCGAGGGCCCCAGAATAGTCGCCGAGCGCGCGCGACCAGCGGGGGCAACCTCGCGACGAAAGCGCGGAAACGCGTTGGCCAGTGCAGGGTTGATGAGGGCGGCGCGCCCCCCCCTCGCCTCGCCCTCTGGACAGGCCCCGAGGCCCGCGAGCCCATCCACCGTGGGCGCCAGGAGGTCTAAATCGAACTGGGGGCCGCTGGTTTCCTGCAAGTGCAGAATGTGATGCTGCTGGCTCTAACGTTATACACGTGGCATCATCCGAGCGTTCAGACAGTGATTAGAGAACGGGCTATTGAAGAGACAACGGGCACTCTATGCGACGACAGAAAGGTGATGTTGCTCGACGAAAAGCCGAGCGCAACCGCCCGCGTCGCCACCCGTCTGCCCCGAGCTGTCAGAGCAAGCGGCAGCGAGAGAGGAGGTCCCCGGAGACGACCTCGACGCAGGAGAAGACTGCGCAGATGAAGCCCCCGACGAGCCAGCGGCGGAAACTGGCAAGGATTCATCGATCGTGGAAGTGGCCCGGGCATCCGCCCGCAATCGCGACTGCCAAATCTCGCAGACATAGAAGCGCGGGGAAAGGCCGAAGGAATAACAGAAGGGGGCGTCGCCAGTCCTGAGGGGGGCCTCAGCCTCGGCACCCAGAGGAAGGTCCTCGAGAACACCATCGCGCCAAAGTCCGGGAGCGTGGGCCAACGTGCACGTAGAGAGCGGTGCAGACCTTCAAGGCATGGCACCCCCGGCAAAAGCGTCGGCCTTCGCGCCGTCGATGCCGTCGCGGGCCAGCGCGTCATTGTCGATGTCTAGATGCTTCTCGTCGCCGAGGCCATCGACCAGGGTCGCGAGCGCCTCCGCATCTTCGCCCTGGGGGAAAAAGAGCAAGCCGCCAAGGCCGTTCGAGCCCACTGTGCACTTCGAGCCCCATTGCCAGCAGACTTCATGTGAGAGAAGACTAAGTGCCAGAGGCGCCCGATCATAATCTGCTTGGTGCGGACCTCGGGGGCGGCGCCCATCCCGGCACGCAGCGCGGCGAGGGACTTCGCGCGCGGGTCGGCCCGCGAGATCGCGCGCTGCTTGAAGAGGTCCAGAGCACTAGGGGCCTGCTCAACGGAGTCGAACTGCAACGCGTACGGCGGGTCAAGACTCTTGGCGAGGACCACGGCCTTCGCAGAGAGATGATGAGGTACCGCATCGAGGGAGGCATCCCCATGAGAGAACGACGACTTGACCAGCATACGCCTTGGGAAACCGCCGACCCACGACTTGGACCTGTCGGCCTCCTGCTCGATCGGAGGAGCAGCACGTCGCGAGCGGGAGGAACTCAACGAAGCTGTAGACCAGGTCGGAGGATTCGAGGCCCTCTGGAGCGAGGTGACCTACTTCGCCAGCTGTTGGACCTGCCCCCCCAGCTTCTGGCTACCCTCGGAATCCACGCCGCCGCCGTAGGGGTCCATCTGCGCCCGCAGCTGGTCGAGGAGCTCGGTCTTAATGGAGGCGACGCGGCCGCCCAGCGCAGCGAGCATTGCGGCCCCTTGCGTGTCCTCGAGCGCGATCATGCGGGTGTCGATGTTATCCGCCCTCGCGTTCAGGAGGACGACTTGGAAGCCTGCCTTCTGGATGAAAGCTTCCAGCGAGAATTTCGTGGCCATGTTCGCGCTGATGTCCGTGAGTAACGAAAAGGCGATCTGCCATCGGCGAGCCCTGCACAAAGCCAGCGGGCGAAGCGTGACCCCGTCGAGATTCGAGAATGGCCTACGCTTCATTCTTGCCATCCATGTCAACCGCGCCGCCGTCGTCGTTCACCAGGTCGACGAACTCCTCCAATGGGGCACCAAGGACGCCATCAGCAACATCATGATCAGCACCAGCAGGTGAAGCGCCAGACTCCTCGAGCGTCATGGGGAGGCCCATGCTCATGGCGGCGTCTGCCTCGACCTCGTCGTCGCTATGCGAATCAGCGAACTCAAATGCAGGCCCACACGGCGTAGGCGCAGAGGACGGTCCCGAAGGAAAAGAGACCGAACACTATGGATCGCGCCTCTGCTGCGGGTCGACTTTGCCTGGCCGAAGCAAGCTGCCTTCGCGAAGTTCTTAACGACTTGCGCCTTCACACCCGCGGAAGCAGCAGGCCCCATGGCGGACATGGCGGATGCACTGGGGTCAACAGGAGTGGCGCGCGGAATGTTCAGCACGAGTGCGCTCACCAAGGAGCTCACATAACACCAAGGAGCTCACATAATCGGAGGCCAACGAACCGCCTGTGTCGCGGCCCGTGCTTGCTGGCCCACGAAATCGGTCACTCAACCACCTCGAGGACATCTTGTAGTTGATCCAACATGATTTGAGCCAAAGTTGCTACGTAGGGAGGAGGAGGAAGACGGCAGGCGTGGGTTAGGCGAGGGATTTCCAAACAGCCTTCATCGACCGACCGACTGAAGGGCATGAGGGTGAGAAAGAACTGGAATGTGGATGTGAACGATGAAGGAGAATGAGGACCACGACTAGGAGGAAGAGCAGGCAACCGATCAAGGGGAAGAGCAGGAGGAGCAGCAAGGCCAGAAGAAGGAGGCGGTGGAGGAGGACGCTCGAGCTGGAGAGGAGTCTATACAATCCGAAACGCAACGCTTGCTGGGGCATGAGAGTGCGCCTTCAAGCCCACACTGATGGCCTCAAATGCTCGGACGTTCACAACATCGTAAACGTCCCGTCGGGCGGCAACTTCTCACTCACGGGGCTGGCCGCGCCAGTGGCCCAACCCCCCTGCCAAAGCATAGTGCCGCTGCTCTTCAATGTGCCTGTACGGAGGAAGCGAGAGCTCCAATGCAACCAGGCAGCCTTCCTGACCCAACCCTCAGAATTAGGAGGGAGTGGACGGGGAGGAAGAGGGAAGAACTGTGGACTTCAGGGCCAGGCCCCAAGGTGGTTGAGTGGATCCTTCGAGGCTTTCTTGTGCTCCTGCCATTTTCTGTTTGGGAGGTTTCTGAAGCCCCTGGGGCTGAATTGGGAAAAGGTGTCGGGCAAAAAGGAAGGCCTGGTAGAAAAGGCGGGGTCCTCCAAAAAGGGCTTCAACCGCATCTCCACCCGCACCTCGGGCATTCTGGTGCAGCACGCCTCCGCGGCCGAACCGGCGAGGCGTTGCAGGGACGGCGGCGAGCGCCGACTAGCGACTAGCCAGCCGCCGCCATCAAAAAACACTCCGCCCCGGAGGGACGTCGGCTTGGGATCGAAAACCCGCCACCGTGTCCCCTGGCACGCTGAGGCGCGGTATGGTGCCAAGTGCAATCTGCTAGGGCTTCTGCACGTCTTATACAAGGCCCCCCGTCCTGCTCACCTGCGGCCCCGTGCAGCTCCCGCCCTCCCGAGGCTTCCTGGGCGCCCCCACGGCTCCCTGCCGCTCTCCAGGGGTTCCAGGGCGGCCTTTAAGAATACCAATGCCACAAAGATGGATCACCATTGCCTCCAGACGCTCTCAACAACTCCCACGAGATTCCCAAGAGGTGTCAAGAGGGCTGGCCATAATCATTCAAGGACCTACAACATGTCCGCAGGGTTTTGCATATGTGAGCAATGGAATCTGCTGCGCTTACGAAACGATAACTCGGCATACCTGGGGAGACGTGGCCCTGCAACATAAATTACGACGTGTGTTGCAAAGGCTGCCTAGCTCAATTCTTCTTGTGTGGCTGTACGCTCTCTCTCTCTCTCATTATCATTCGCAATCTCTCTCTCTCATTATCAATCTCTCTCTCTCTCTCTCCCTCTCTCGCTCATCCAGCCCGGGCAGGATCCGAACGCTCGCTCGGGAACCCGCCCGGGTGGGGTCCGAACGCTCGCTCGGGACCTCGCCGGGGTCCCATCGGTTGCTCGGGACAGCCCCCATCGCCCCAACGGGGACAGTGAAGAGCTTCTGCGCGACGGCGCGCTTCGAGCTCGGCGTCTGCAGCGCGTGCCTGCTACAGCACATTGCGGCATCTTCCGCAAAGGCAGTCGCTACGCGCGGGTCCTTCCTTCCGCGCGCGAGCGCTACGCAGTCACGCGGGGAGGCTGCTTAGCGCCGCGCGCCGACCGACGCGCGATAATGGCGCGCCAAGACCGCCGCCGATGCTATGCGCGAGTCCGCGCCCGAGGGTTCCTGACGCGTCCTGGGGGTTCCCGAACAAGCCTTTGATTTTTCATGCAAACCTCACATCCACCCTTCGCACGGTGGTCGCGTTGCGATGCGCCCGCTGCGGCGTCGTTCGACGTTCTCTGTTCGCCGCCCGTAAATCGTCGTTTTTCGCTGTTCGTCGACTGTTGTCGTCCTGGTCACCATTCGTTGGCCGTCGTTCGTTGTTCGTTGTTCGTCGTCGTCTTTCGTCGGTCGTCGTTCGTTGCCCGTTTGTATACTTGTCGTTGGTCGTTCGCCGCCGTCGCCGCTCGCCTATAATCGCGCAGCGATACGTCCGAGGGAAGTGCGACGCATGTCATATTCCCCCTTGTAAGGGGGGCGGCGTGGGTGTGGATGCGAGAAGGGGGCTCACTCTCGGGCGCAGACGAGGCGCGGATGGGGGGGCTGGAACACGAGCGTCGCGAGCGCGCACCAACGCATCCTACCCGGGGGGGGGGGCATGCGTGCGCGCGGTCCTTTTCAACACGCTCTCGCTCTCTCTTTCTCTCTCTCTCTCTCTCTTTTTTTTTTTTCTCTCTCTCTCTCTCTCTCTCTTACTATTTCGTCCCCTGCTTGTGTAACATCTGTATATGTATATGTATATGTATATGTATGTGTATATGTATGTGTATATGTATATGTATATGTATATGTATATGTATATGTATATGTATATATATATATACACTAGGACCATCGCGCGCGCTTCGCGCGCGCTCAGGTTCTAGCCCAGGCCAGGGGCGCGCTTGAGGATCTTGGACAGCGCTATCAAGCACAGGCGCGTGACATAGTCGTGTCTCCTGAGGGCCTCTTGGAAACCTCTTGGGTCTTCGTGGGGGCATCTGAAGGGCTTCTGGGGGGCCCTCCATGCTTCCTCGATTGGCTGTTGCAGGCACATATTGGGTGCTTCTCGGGGGGCATCTTGGGGCTTCTTGGGGTCCCTTGGGGGCATCGTCAGGGTTCTCCGGGCAATCGGAAAGTGATGTTCTGCAGCCTGAAGCAGACAATTGGCCGTCTTGGCTGCGTAGAGGCCCGGCTTGAGGCCACATTGGGGCAATCCGGAAGCCTCCCGGGGCCTCCTTGAAGCAATTTTGATTGGCCCCGTGTACGTCTCCTGTGAGCCTTTTGTGGCCTGGTGGGGGGCTTTGGTGGGCCTCGTCGAACCACTTGGGGACTCTTGGGGCCTCCTGTGGGCCTCTTAGGGCGAAAGGCTCTGCTGTTGGGTTCGCGTTCACCTTCTTGGGGCTCTCTTGGGGCCCTCTTGGGGCCCTCTCGGGCCGTCTTGGGCGCCTCGGGCACCATCTTGGGACCCTCGTGGGCCGTCTTGGGGCCCTCTTGGAGGCCTCTGCGGTTTTGGGGGCCTCTTGGGCCGTCTTGGAGCGTCGGGAAGCCAAAAGGCTGGGAACTTTAAAATCCATCAAAAGCCGATGGGAAAACATTGCTTCTTGGAACCTCTTCGGCCTTCTGGGGAGCTTCTTGAGGGCCTCTTGGGTCCCATTTGGGGGCCTCTGGGGCTTCCTGAGAGCCTCTCGGGGTGGAAGGCTCGGATTTTCGGTTCGTCTTACCCCTCTTGGGCCCCCCTTGGGGCCGTATTGGTGCCCTCTCGGGCTGTCTTGGGCCCTGTTGGAGGCCTCGTGGGCTATCTTGGATTGGTCTTGGAGGCCTTTTGGGCCGTCTTGGAGCGTCAGGACGCCAAAAGGCTGAAAACTCTAACATCAATCAAACACCTACGGCAAGACATGGATTTGTGCCTCTTGGGGCCTTCGTGGGAGGCCTCTTGGATACGCTTCGGCCCCCTGGGGGGGCTTCTTGGGGCCTCTTGGAGCCTGTCAGGGCTTCTCGGGGCCTCCTGAGAGCCTCTCGGGATGGAAGACTCGGATTTTCGGGTCGTGTCAACCCTCCATCTTGGGGCCGTGTTGGGGCCCTCTCGCTCCGCCTTGGACGCCTCTGGCGCCGTCTTGGGACCCCCGTGGGCTGTCTTGAGACCGTCTTCGAGGCCTCTGGGGATGCCTTGGAGCGGAAATTGAAGCCTCTTGGGCCGTCGTGGGGCGTCAGGAAACTCAAAAGGCGAGAACTCGAAAATCAATCAAAAACCAAAGGACAACAAATTAGTTGTGCCTCCTGGGGCTCCTTGGGAGCCATCTTGGAGACCTCTTGGGGCGTCTTGGAAGCCTCTTGGAGAGTCAGGGACCAATTCTGGGGTGATCTCGGGCGGTCATTGGTCGTGTTCGTTGTCTGGAAACACCATTTCTGGCAATCCAGGGCCGTCTTCTGGCGACTTTACAAGGCCCCCAGCGCCACGGCAGGGCCTCCGGGCCTCCCGGCGCGAGGGCCCCATCCTGGGCCCCACCTCGTGCCCGCGGCAGGGCGTCCCTGGGCCGTCTCGGCGCCCTCGTGGGCCGTCTCGGCGCCCTCGCGGGGTGTCTGAAATCCATCAAAAATCGAAGGACAATCAATGATTTTGGCGTCCCTTTGGGCCGTGTTGGAAGCCTTGTGGGCCGTCTGGGGGCCATCTTGGGCGCGTTCGAACGATATGTCCTCGTTTCGGGGCCTCCTGGGGGCCTCTTGCGGCCCTTTTCGTTTGTGTTGGGGCTTTCTTGGGCCGTGTGGGGGCGGCTCTGGGCTGTCTCGGCGCCCTCTTGGAAGCCTGTTTGGGAGATTTCTGGGTGTCCTGGACCGTCCTCCTTCAACGTCGGCGGCACTGACCGAAAGACTTCCTGGGAACATGATTTGTTGGGGTGTCGTTGGGCGCTTGTGGAGGCTTCGGAACCTGACGTTTCCGAGCGTGACGGCAGGTAGCGCTGCTTGGGACTCTCGTTACCTAACAGCGAAGACTGATAGGTTTCTAATAGTCTCAAAAGAGAGCAGCACATTACTCCACAGGGGGGTCTGGGCAGCCGTTGGGGGGCCGTTGGGGTTTGCCGGGGGGGATCGTTTTTCGTATACAGTCACACACTTCGTGCTCTTCGACCTCCCAGAACTCCATTCCCGGGCCACATTCTGAATGCCCGGAGCCAACTGTAGGCCACTTCGTGCTCTTCGACTTCCCAGAACTCCATTCCCGGGCCACATTTTGGATGCCCGGAGCCAACTGTAGGCCACTTCGTGTCTTCGAGTTCCCAGAACTCCATTCCCGGGCCACATTTTGAATGCCCGGAGCCAACTGTAGGCCACTTCGTGGTCTTCGAGTTCCCAGAACTCCATTCCTGGGCATGATTTTGAATGCCCGGAGCCACCTGTAGGCCACTTCGTGTTCTTCGAGTTCCCAGAACTCCATTCCTGGGCATGATTTTGAATGCCCGGAGCCAACTGTAGGCCACTTCGTGTTCTTCGAGTTCCCAGAACTCCATTCCTGGGCATGATTTTGAATGCCCGGAGCCAACTGTAGGCCACTTCGTGTTCTTCGAGTTCCCAGAACTCCATTCCCGGGCCACATTTTGAATGCTGAGGCAGGCTGAGGCTGAGGCTGAGGCGCAGGCTGAGGCTGAGGCAGGCTGAGGCTGAGGGCTGAAGGCTGAAGGCTGAGGCTGAGGCTGCAGGCTGAGGCTGAGGCTGAGGCAGGCTGATGCTGAGGCAGGCTGAGGCTGAGGCTGAGGCTGATGCAGGCTGAGGCTGAGGCAGCCTGAGGCTGACCGAGGCTGAAGGCAGACTGAGGCTGAGGCTGAAGGCAGGCTGAGGCTGAGGCTGAGGCTGAGGCTGAGGCTGAGGCAGGCTGAGGCTGAGGCTGTGACTGCGACTGCCGTTGCCACTGCGACTGTCATCGCGAATGCGACTACGACTGCGAGAACAGCAGAATTCTACAACTGGATTCTCATCTGAATCTTAAGGGGAATGCTTCCAGATATGCTCCTACACATCGCTGTTAGGTTGCTTTGCCGGGATAATGCTTTTATCCTGGCGGGCGTTTAGGGAACATGGTTTGGGGAGAAGGCGGCAACCCGAGAATCATATTCCCGGGAAGCTT